AGCAACATAATCATACGGACTGCTAACTGACTAGGCAGAAACAGAATAGGTTCGCTGACTGCATCACTGCCCAAAGGATCCCCATCGATACGACGTCGAGATACCTGCCTGGTAACTGCCAAGTTGCGAGCCCCGGGCGAGTTGTCGATTCGATATTGACTTCCGTCAGCTGCCCCATCAGACTTGAAGATAGCCAAGGGGAACAACAACAACAACAACAACGCCCCTGATAACAAGTCAGCTTCCAGTCCCGCCGTCTCCAGCTTTTGGACCCCGTCCGTCTACTCCGTGCAGCACGCATCGGATCCCGTGGCCCTCAAAAGCCCAGCTCAGGGTTCTAGGTCTGGTGACGTGCATACCTAGGCGGGCCTTTCAGGCGTCGAATCGCACGTAGCGGGTTTCTCCAGGCCCTCTCCAGGCCGTCTTTAGGCCCTGTCCAAGGCGCAGCGACAGCCTAGGCCGCACTCCTCTCCCCCGCGGATTTAGCCGTCAACCCCACCATCAGACCACTGCGTCGCGCCTCCACTGTATTACCGTGCTGGATTTACAGCACAGGAGCAGCCCATTTATTTACTGAACGACATCCCTCCATCACATCCCACCATGGCTCCTCCATCATCATCATCGTCCTCTCAACCTCGTCTCCAATCCACTCCGGCCGCCTCTCTCGCCCGCATCAACAACATTGCGAGCCACATCTCTCCCACAATGGCTTCCACCACCAGTTTCCCGGCAGAAACGGTGCCCCAGGCGCCTGAAGATCCCCTCTTTGGCCTGGCCCGCGCCTACAAGGCTGACAACAGCCCGCTAAAGGTCGACCTGGTATGTCGCACGCTGTTTGTTGCTGATGATGTTTTTCATCTAGCCTGCTTTCACATCCAAACACTTCTGTCCTCGCTGTCCTCGCTGTCCTCGTTTTGCCCAACCGTTCCCGCCGCAGCCGTGACACGCCTCTGGCGCAATCCTTTACGGTTGCGACGTCGGAGCCGGCGAACCCACAAATATCCCATCGCTTGACTAATAGATACCGTGTCTGATGGACTCCGTGACTGACGATATTCTGAATTACAGGGAATCGGCGCCTACCGAGATAACAATGCGAAGCCGTGGGTTCTTCCCGTGGTAAAAAAGGTACGGTGTCTTCTTTTTGCTGGCGTCCCAATCTGGAGAGCTCGGCGCCGCGAATGCGACGCATGCAAGCTAGCTTGTGATGCCAATAATAAGCTCAATTGGCGCACCAATTATTGGTCCAGCCCACTTGCTGCTATACAAATTTCATCCATCACAGCATCGCTGACCCACTGCTTTATACAACAGGCTGATGAGATTCTCCGAAACAACCCCGAGCTGAATCACGAATATGCCCCGATCGCAGGCATCGAGAGCTTCACCAGCAAGGCCGCGGAGCTGATGCTCGGCGCCGATTCGCCCGCTCTCGCGGAGCGCCGTACTACCTCTGTGCAGACCATCTCGGGAACCGGTGCCGTCCACTTGGGAGCTCTGTTCCTCGCCAAGTTCTACAAAGGCAGCCAGACCGTCTATGTGTCAAATCCCACGTGGGCAAACCACCATCAGATCTTTTCCAATGTCGGCATCAAGGTCGCCCAGTATCCTTACTTCAGCAAGGAGACACGGGGGCTGGACTTTGATGGCATGACCGCTGCCATCTCAGCGGCTCCTGAAGGCTCCATCATCCTGCTCCACCCCTGTGCCCACAACCCAACCGGCGTCGACCCAACACTTGATCAGTGGAAGGAGTTGGCCGTCATTATCCGAGAGAAGAAGCACTTTCCCTTCTTTGACTGTGCTTACCAGGGCTTTGCCTCTGGCGACCTTGCTCGAGATGCCAGCGCTGTTCGTTACTTTGTCGAGCAAGGTTTCGAGCTCGTAGTTGCTCAGAGCTTCGCCAAGAACTTTGGTCTTTATGGAGAGCGAGCTGGCTGCTTCCACGTTGTGGCTGCTCCTGCAGCTGATGCCACCACTACAATCACCCGCATCGCATCTCAGCTTGCCATTCTGCAGCGGTCAGAGATTTCCAACCCTCCTTTGTATGGTGCCAGAATCGCCAGCACCGTGCTGAATGACGCCCAGCTCTTCGCCGAGTGGGAGGAGAACCTGAAGACCATGTCTGGCCGCATCATCGACATGCGCAAGGCTCTCCGCTCCAAGCTTGAAGAGTTGGAGACTCCAGGAACCTGGAACCACATCACAGACCAGATCGGCATGTTCAGTTTTACTGGCCTAACAGAATCCCAAGTCCTGAAGCTCCGCGAGGAGTATCACATCTACATGACCAAGAACGGCCGAATCAGCATGGCCGGGTTAAATACCAACAACATTGACCATGTGGCTCAGGCCATCCGAAAAGTTGTTGGCGAAACTCAGTAATTTGTATGATAATGGTTTGATAGATGGGCTCCGAGGACGTGACGGATAATGATCACCGCCGCCGGCCAGGGACTTGCTTTGTTTCGATTAGTGCTCTTTTTTCCTTTGTATTCGATAGCACATGAGTGTGTGGGTATAGATGCAGCTAGACAAATAGCAAATACGGCTTTGAAGGCCTTGGGGAGTTTCGTCCCTTGACAATGGACAGACGAATGCCAATTGTTGTTGCTTGTGATACTGCGGATGAAGACCCGCTTACCCCAGATATCCCCACAGATCCGATCCCGATCGGCGCCGCGTTCCGGATGCATGGCCTGTGTAACAATCACCGTGCTCCCGTGTCTAGGCGAAGTGCCTGGTTGGCTGCCTGTTATTGGAAAGTTGATGTTGTTAGGATGGACTTTACAAAGATGGTGTTGGGCGGTGTTGGACACACCTCTAGGTATGTACTATGAGTAGACGGAGAGCAGAGGCAGACAACCGGGGAACTCCAAGCTTTTCCGAATAATCACGCAATTTGTGTATGTGAGGTTCTAATACGTAAAGCAAGCAAGAGTTCTTCTAAATAGTAAATCAATCGGATTTGCATGGAAGAATGGAGAATTAAAGTCATAGGAAATCGACATAAAACGGCATTGCCTTGCCCCTGGAAACGGAGATCTCAGATACTACCCAAAGAGAGTGTATTCTTAGTAGAGCAAATATACCTAAATGAACTATTTTTTGTATCATTAATTGCCATCTCAAACTTGAATAATAAGAAATTGGCTCGTCTCTGAAGATCAGGGCTGAGCAGCGTCATACTGCAGGTCAACAAACTCTTGGTTCTTCTTCAGTACCTATGCGTGCGAGGCTTCGGGGTGGCATCTTCGAACAATGGCTAGGACGGTGCCTTGTGTCCAATTCTCCAAGATCATTCAACCGTTGCTGTCTTCTGTTGGCAGCCGTTTATAGAGAGTACGATGAGTTTCGGTCGAGATTACCAGAACTACATAGATTGGGCAAACTTGAGTTTGCAATGATGGCGAGCAATGTGTAAACCTCTACCTATGGCAAGTAGCTCTATGTGTATAAAGAGTTTATATGCTAATATAAATCTCTTCGGTCCATGTTGAAGAATGACGCACCGTCAGTTCTCATTTACGTAGATTACCGAGCAATTATCACGAGTTGAGTTGGTGTCAAGAGCAATTCAAATTCTTCACATCACAATTAGCTCAGGGTAGCCTAAAAAGAACAGAAACTTCTTCTTACTTCATCGTCGCAATTATATTTGTTCAACTTCCTCTTTTTATTATTTTGTTGTATCTCCGCGCCTGGTACTACCCGAGAGTCTGCCCATTGCGATTATAGCAAGAGAACGGCGATTTAATACAGTTCGGTTGTACTGACACATAACTTTGAAGGCATAAACTGCATAAAAAGGTTACAAGAGCCGCAGAGACGAGATGCTGATTCACGTACGCATTGAAGTGGGACAGATTGATGGGCTATTTTGATGGCATAATACTGGGTATTTCATGAATAAAGCTAATTCCGCATTTAATCACAATCTTTATATTCATACAATAAAATGTCCAACACAATTATGCTCTCCCCTCCGGCATCTATACAGAAACATTGGACAATACAATTTTATACTGCCTTGCACCGATAGTTGGATCGTGAGTATCAAACAAAGCTCATCGCAGACATAATTTATGCCATCTTGATCACTGTGTAAGATTGGGGCGTTGCCGTCCCGAGATAATTGTGCCATATCACGATATGGTTCCACAACAGACATGAGGGATCTGACTACGCCTCTCGTCATCCATACAATCACCAACGTAATACCTCAACCCAGATATACTCATACCAACGACAATGATACCAGCATGCTCCAAAACACGACACTGATTGGCCAAACCCCCCCCACGCTCCAGAACAAGGCTCTCGATGTCGTAAACCGATCAAGTCATCGCACAGTGCAACCTCCACAGATGCAGCCGGACTGATCTATTGACTTCCAACTCACATATACACAGCCTCCTTCTCCACACGGCTTTCAGAGGCATCCGCAATCTCGGTGTGAGCTGGCCTGCATGCATGAAGCTCCTAGATCCTTCGGCTCTACTTTCACAACTTCCGGTTCGTCTACTCCTCCAAGCACCTCAAGGAATAACACACACACCCCCTTGCTCTTGCTTAAGACAATGAAACACACATCCAGGCAGCTTCTAGCTCCCCGAGTGCAACCATCCTGGGGCAAGAATCTAGTGTCGTATCCCGAGAATGGCTTTCCTGACCAAGAAAAAAAACAAAGAAAGACAGCCAAGAAAGGAAAAAGAAGAAGAAAAAAAAAATTACGGGGCTCCTGTGTGGATTTACTTACATGGTATGCACCTAGTAAACAAGGGAAAAGATCCTTGTGCGGCTGATCGAAACCCAATGGGCAGGCTGGGCAGGCTGGGCAGGCTGGGGGGGGGGGGGGGGATGGGTGTCTGTGTTTCTGTGTACCTGTACTTGGGACCCCGGTCAAAGCCTCGCCTCGCGAGCGTCTCAGCCTGATTTTTTTCATATTTCGTACCTGTATCAACCTGCTGAGCGCCACGCAATTTCACTCAAGACAAATGTCTCTTGCGCGAAAAGCTCCGTTCGAGGCGGTGTGGGAGAACCGGGATATCGTATGCAAGTCCTCCGTCCAGCTCATCACATCTAACCAACTCGGCCTGAGATTCCAGCCCCCCTCCCCCTCTTATCCCGGCGATGAGATGATCGAGACGGCCATCGTGAAGCATGGCTTCTGGGCAAAGCCCACTTGGCGCCCCCTCTTGGTATTGTTCACTCGCACTCAGTGGTCGCCATGTGAGTGAACCGGCTGCCCTGCATATCTGTGTCGTATGAACGCTGAAGCGCGAGAGAGAATGCTCGGCTGGGGTCTCGGGCAGACAGAGCTCGATCCGCGTGCATGTTTGGGGGCGATGTAAAGGACGTGAGTATCGGCACGCCCAGCGAGTGGGTGTCCATGTATCCAGAAGTTGGGATAGTCGCCCATCCCCAGGGAATATGAGGTCAAGTTGGAAAGCCCAACTCTGCGAAAACGATACTTCTGACGCACTGGGAGGATTTAGTATCATAGCACAGGCTACAGGAGGCCAATGCTGTCTGCTGTCTGCTGTCTGCTGATATACGTGAAAGTTGAATGTTGACGTGGAAACTCAATACACATATGAACGAGATGTGGTGTTAGTCTACGTGGAACGATGATACAATGTTAACTTTGACGTCCAAATATAATAACATGTCTTTACGAAACTGTAACCGCGACGTGTAAGAACGGATTAACAAAAACAGGCTTCAAACACAATTTACATCGGTAAAATAGGAATTTAAATCTTCTCATGATATAATGTCGTATCCTCCATGGAACGTGTCTAGGGGAATATGTTCACAGAAGCTACATGTATTCGGAATGTGTTTGTGCAAATTTTCATTGAGCTATGAAGTCCTACTAAAAATCCAGAAAAGGACGAGCATGGTTATAACCAATGTCCTAGAAATAAGCGCCGTGATTCAAAGGCGCGTCAGAAATGAATGAAGGAAAGAAAAAATATCCAATTTATGTGATGCGTACTCCAGAACCACTATGTTCAGAACATGACCCAATAACCTCAAAGGCAATCCAATGCCTTCAGAAGAGCTTTGCGTGTATGATAAAGCTCCCAAACCATCCTTAATTTTGTGTTGATAGATCTGATCACATCTCGTCGGTGACAGGGTGAGGTAGATCATCAATGGCAGAGCAGATCCGCCTGTATTGCGTCGGCATCCAGTGGTCGTAGATGTTTCTGGTAAAGCGATACGCAGCCCACTTGTCGCCACAAGCAGGATCAGCAAAGTCAAACGAATGGAGAACCTTTTGGAAGTAGCTTGTGTACTCCCCGAGTATGACCGGGTAATGGGCAACAATCTGCACTTCGCGATGGCTGTGCGCAATGGAAAAGGCCAAGACCTGACGATCCAGTTCTGCTTCACGCTGAACGCCGCGGAAGAGCTCGACGACTCCATGCATGCCAATGGTCATGCTGTGTGTGTTCTGGCGCTGAGCCATGGAGAGCGACCCGATCTCACACGTAAAAAAAGGGAAGAACATGAAGGGTGTGCTCGCGACAGGAGATGAGTTGTCCGTACACCGGTCCTCGAAGAGTGTGTAAAGCTTCTGATAACGTTCCGTTGTAATGGCTTGACCCCGGAACCCAACTGCGTATGTAGGCTGCGGTTGGACGCGAAGAATCGGCTGAGAGTGAGCCCATATTTCGTTTGTAGATTCGTACATCAGATCCTTGTGGGTTTCGCCGCGCAAAGCAAGAAGTTCAGCTGACGGCGCAATCAGAGGAGTGATGTCGCGGAACACCATGGTCTCATTTCGATGTTGGATCATCGCGCACGTTGCGTGGATGATATCGTCGTCGAACAAGGACTTTTCAGGGAGCGGTTGTTCATCTTCAAGCAGCTTTTTACAGAAAGCCTCGCTTTCCTGGCGAAGACCCAGAGGATGCTCGTGCAAAAATGTTCCAAACCGCTGGAATTCATGTTCCCATGAGGGATCTCGGAATGGATCAGTCTTGTGCTCAATGGGCCACATGGACTTGGGCAGCGCATAGCATTCGCTATCGGCTTCAGAGACGGGGTACAAGTACAGAGGACGATCCGGAGAGCCTCTGCTAAGACCAGTCCTCCAAGAAGGATCAAATTCCGTGTCATCTTGGCTATCCGTCTCTCCGTTGGCCGCTTCTGGCTGAAGACTGGTTTGGCGGGTGCTTGGATTGCCGTTGCTGGCTCCTCGGACACTTGGTTCTCGAAGACTACTGTTCCAAGTGCTTGCACCATCATAGCTTGTTTCTCGAGTGTTTGTTTGTTCAATATAGGCGGCCAGCACTCGCCTTCGACGGGCCAATTCGCGAGAGCTGGCTTCTTTGGCCGCAGCCATGATGGCCCGAGTAGTCTCCTCATTGGTCAAGCCTTCGATCTCCCCACTAGACTCCGAAGAAGCCTCATCAAGAGTTGCCCCGGAAGGCTCGTCTTCAACGGTTGCTTCAACTGCCACTTCAGCAACAGCCTCGGCAGCTGCTTCAGCACCATCACGAGACTCCAAAGTCTGCCGCCGTTTCACACCACGCTCCTCGTTAGGAGGGTCGTCGGAGATGATTGGATTCTCGCGAATTCGCTTATTCATGCGTGCAAGTCCAGCCACAGTCTCTTCCTCGACTGGAGACAGCGAGGGTTGAGGCGAAGGGCTGGCAAGACGCTGCTCTTGCTGAGCTTCTTGCTGAGCTTCTTGCTGAGCTTCTTGCTGTTGAAGCTGCGTAGATTCCATTGTGACGAAAATGGCGAACTGATTGATAAGATTGTCCTTGGTAAAGGTTATATGAGTGAAATAAATTATGGAGAAGAAAGGCGATGAGCGTGGTGTGCAATGAGGAAGAAGGTGAGCAATTCTGGATCGAAGGGTAGAGCGAGTTAACTGAATTCCATGAGCTGGATAAAAGGCAAAAGGTCCGGAGGTGGGTAATAAGAAGAAGAGGAAAAGAAAACGAAATAGAAAAAGAAAAGAAAAAGCACTAGATAGGTAGGCAGGGGGGAGCCACTGGTGCCTCCGACAGATTTCGGTAATTCTCCAATTCTTGTTCTTGCTTTCTTCGATTCTATCATTTGTCTCTTTCCCAAGCCTCGATGAACACGTCTTAACACGTCGGCTCCGCACCTCGGCACCTCCGCGCCTTCTCGCTCCTGCCGCCTGCCAAGTACCAGTACTTGCGGTCTTATAGTCGTCCTCCCTTGCAATACCAAGTCCCAGGTACTTGGGAAGACGTAATGGGACAACTGTGTCTCAAGGCAGGTGCAGCGAGAGAGAAAGGATTGATGCAAGGAGGCGAGTTGGTTGGTTTTGGGGGCAGCAGCAGCTCCCGGCAAGTGTTATTGGCCTTTGGTGGGCGGGGCCGGATCTGGACCACTAGCCGTGCCGGGACCCACTCCGTCCCGTGCACAGGGTACTAGGTACTAAAGGTACCATGGACTGGCCAGGTACCACCAACCCAGCCAGGTACGAGTACTCGCACATCCGTGCCTCTCTCTCTGCTCCATATGGCGGGAAGAGTGCTGTAAATCAAGAGTCAAAAGAGTCAAGAACACAGCAGTCCCAGCACGCGCAGTCGAGGGTGAGAGGGGAACGAAAACACTCCCCCTACGGTGACCACTAAGACCAAGGCGATTGCAACCTGATGCTCTTCTCCCTTGCCTCGAGGCGACATGACTTGGGGGGCGTGCAGCAACCAATAAGGCAGCCACCTCCATCCATTCCAGCTCCCATGCCTCATTCACGAGTACAAGTAGGTACACCGATCACAGGGCAGGCATGAGGCGGCAGGTTAGTACCCCGTAAAGGCGACCTGCATTAGCCTGCCCCTCAGCGGAGTATCCAGGTAGGTACCTTGGTAGTACCTGTACTAAACTTAGGTACGGCACCTTATGTACCTAGCTTGTCGCTTTGCCCTCTTAGGCACCTCGCCAAAATAGGAACGCGAAAGCCGTGCAAGAAAAGGTAACGTAAAAGCATAAAAGAGGAGTGGCCGCGCATAACGAAGGAATACTCGTACAAGCCGCGTTGGCAAAAAACGACAACAAAAAAAAAAAAAACCAGGCTGTTCACTGCAGCAGTTGTGGGTGCATCGTCTGGGCTTGTGCGCCAATCATTCGTACCTACTCGTACAGCGGCTGCCTTTCATTGATGCCCTCTTTCTTGCTGGCACACGGCACGGCTAAAGCTCGTGTAAGTTGCATGTATGTACTATATGTACTATAAATGAACGCAAGAGAGCGCTAACGCACACGGCCCCGCACTGGGGAGCCAATCTGGTCTGCTTCCGTTGTCTTAGCAAGCATCCAGGCCGTCGGTTGATAAGCCTTGTCGGCTGGGGTTTTTAATACTTCAGGTGATTATGCCGGTCATGATTGGGTTGTTGTCTCTTTTCTCGCTCTCTGGATTAAACGCCCTCTTTCATTGGCTTAAAGGCTCTATTCTCGCTTTCGACTTCCTCTCCTGGACGCAGTATAAGCCTATCGGGATTGCTTTCAACATACTAGTACCTATGCAAAGCTCATATAGCTTCTATTCGCTCTCTTTAGATGAAGCAACTAAGCTATTTTATGAAAGGAATAGGAATTACTACCACGACTTGTGAAATACACACTTGCTCTTAGACCTTTTTATCCTAGCTCCCTTATCCCTTATCCCATGCCCAATGTCCCATATACCCCAGTCCCAGTGTCCCGACTTTACCAATTACCTGGAAGCTTGCCATTTCCCAAAATTTCCATCCCAAGAATCCCAATTCATGTTGTTGCCTGGCTTTTCTAATCAATCTATGTGCCATACCCGTAGTATGCCTTGACCGTTGCCACCCATACAAAAAACATGAAAGACAAAGAAAAGAAGGAAATGAAAGAGCACCACCGTCCTCTTTACACAAGTTTCTGCATGCTAGTCATTTCCTCATCGCCCCCTTCTAAGCGGTAGATGACAGGTTAGCTTTGAACAGAAAAGAAAATATTGTAGCACGCTGAAATGACGGGCTCACTCACCGTTGTCGTTGCTGACAACCCACTCCTTGACTCTGTCCATGTCCGAGATACGCACCACTCCTTTGGGCCTGCGCTTTTCCTGCTCAACTAGAGCGAGATGTGCGTCAATGTTGACCCACGGATGAGAGTAGATGTGCTTGCCAGAATCCTCCATTTCCGTGGCGGCCCACCGGAAGATGTCGCCGGTAGCCTGCTTGGATGCCGTGTAATCCATGCCGGGGTCTGGCTCGCCCCCGCGAGCTGGGGGCAAGTTGATGTGCGACTCAGCCTCAAACTGGGCCCATGAGGTAGTCAGAACACGTGGTTCATGGGTCAAGTCAACTCCATTGTCGAGAGTCCAAGTGAAGCCCGAATAGACCCATTCATGTCTCGGGCACTCCAAGTGCGGGCGCACCATGACTTCCACTTCTTCGGCGTCAATAGAGCCAAAGGGTCGGAAGGGAGTGGTTGGTAAGTGGCGGAAATGAACACCGCCCTTCCAGGTATTCCAATTCTCGTGGCGAAGCCGCCACAGGTCCTCGCGAGATATACGATTCCCCTGCAAATAGGGGCCAGTTCCGGCAAGATCCATGAATGACTGAGGACTCTTTGTCCAGACAGAGACTTCAGGAACGTGTTTTGCGGGCAACGCAGTGTGCAAGGTCTCAAGGTAGGGAATGATGGATTGGATGACGTCTGTAGTGCCACAGGCCACTAGGCCATACCATAAAGCAGAAACGCCAGGCCTTCTCTGAGCAAGGACATGACCCAGCGTCTCAAGCCGATGTCCATCAATCAAGGGCTTGATAACATCAATGATTGCGTTGCACCAGGGACTGGCCAAGTTGCAGTCGATTTCAGGTTCCCAAAAGACAGACCAAAGAGCCGAGGCCATGAAAGTAGGGTTGGAGCTGAGAACAATGTAGTAAGACAGGTTGCGATACTCTTGGTCAATGATTGAAGCGGGTATAGACACAACCTCTTTCCTGGTAAGATACGGCTCTGGTATCTGTATGGTTGAGGACATGTTATCGTGAAGTGGAATGGTCAGTGCCATTGCAAGTCCGAGCGACACCTGGTTCTCCAAGTTGAACCTGGCAGCAAACCGAGAAAGGAATGCAAGCGCCTCGCGGCTGGAGGGAGGATTGACCTTGGTCGACGGCAACACGTTGCGTTCGTTCAGGATAATAAACTTGAACCGGTCTCCAAGCGTCACGGCCCATACCGGCTGCGAAGAATAAGCCGCTTTCCATCCTTGACCAGGATGGACAAGGGATGACCACCAGCGGTATTCTTCATCGCTAGAGTCTCCAAGGTCTATGAAGAAGGCACCGCCTTCATAGGTTCCATTGCCCCATTGCTTGTATGGGTCTTCATAGACTATGGGTATCTGCTGCTGCTCGAGTAAAAACGCACTTAGGATATAGGCCCAAGCGAGGAACATGAAAGCGAGACCGTTGGACTCGCTGTCTGAAAACTTGAAGCCGCTGTGCTTTGATATCTCACAGAGCGTCGCCTTGAGCTTCATCAAGTCCCATCGTCGCCTCACGCCATGGCGAATACCGTGAATCGCGTTGAAGAGGGCTTCCTCGGGGTCCCCTGCTGCTTTATACCATTTGGCATATCCTGCGAGCTCGGTGGTCCCCTCCATTTCGTCGGGGAGCTTTGGCCCGTACTTGGCCACGCTGATCAGGTTGACCGTGTTTTGATTGAATGACATGGAGGAAGCATTTTCCACAAGATGCTGCCAAGTTCTTTTGCTAAACTCGGACGCAGAGGCCGCATGGTCTGCCGATGGGATGACCTTGTCAAAGGGGGAGTTGACCGAGCCAACGCTGGTAATGGGGGTAAGGGGGAGACTGCCGGAAGAAGACATTTTGATGAGAAGGTATTTGTCTGATTGTTCTTTGAAAAAGGTAAAGACAAGTTTGTGAGTTGAGTTTGGCTGTGGTATAAGCGGCACGAAGAGTGTCAATGAATTATCGAGCTTGAAAGCGTGTAACAAGAGTTTGAAGACGTAAAACCGAAATGTTTGTAGGACCAAGTTGGTTACCCAGAAAAGAACGAACCCTCTGCCCTTTAAATACCGATTCACGTCTATGGAGTCTGCCACCGTGATGGACCAAAAGCACACATACACTGGCCTCCGTCTCGGCCATGTATTGGATCAATATACGCCACGAGCCCCATTGTCACAGGAGTATTGACGTGGCACAAATCATATGGCGCTGCCTTGGCAATCCAGCTGAAACGATCAGCATGCGAGACTGGTCTAGGTCTTCCCCCTCGCGTTCCGGGCCACAAGCCTCTGTCTGTCTCTGTCCATACCTCGCTTCTGGAGTCCTTGTCGAGCCGTCTTTCCCTTGTTCATACTGTGTCTATCTTCGGCCACACTCTTACTAAGATGACTCTGAAATCGTGGGGTGGGTGTGCGTGTGATACCTGCTTGACGACCAGGGCCCTGGTAACGCCTGGCTGTCAAAAAAAAAAAAAAAAAAAGCACAGCCGTGGTACCTTGTCCCAACCCGTTTGATCCTTTAGATCTATACCTGGGAAAATTGAGCTGAATAGGTACTTGCCTCCCTCTCTTTCCCCTCACATGTGCTGACGCATATCATAGCGCTGTGCTTGCACTATTACTCCGTAACTGGGGTCTAGAACTCGATTTTCTGCGAGAGGTGCAGCTTGCATGAATTGGACACCACAATACGGAGCAGAGAAGGCCTGTCTCGCGTGGACATGTAATGACACACTCTAGATACCTCTGTGTGTATCAGCAGGTATTCGCAAGTAGGTGTGCTCCGCATCCGCGTCCGCCTTGCATCAGACATGTGGTAGTACTACCACACCCTCGAGTTGTCTTTTTGAACAGGCTAGACATGGAGCCGCGCTAGTTCTGGTTCGGCACATTCAAAGCCCGAGATCAGCGATTGTGAAGCTCCCTCAACTGAAGGACGGTCGACGTACCTTGTACTCGTATGCTGGAAATAGATGCCATGCCATGCCATGCCATATCTTAGGAGATTTATGCAGCCTTGGCGGAGCTCTCCTACTTGTACGGGTTCCAGTGGTTGTGGTTCCCCTAGATGCACACCACCCTCCCCAGACTCCATGTTTGGTAGCACCACCCACCAAAGCAAGCAATAGAATGTTAGCCACTCATCTGCCATCCCACAGGCCTTGGTTGCATAGCGGTTCTCTCCCTCGACAGCCAACCATATGCCAATTTGGGGCTGATTGGTAGTTGATGGAGGCCAAACACCAGTAGGCGCCCCGCGTCCCAGTCTCTCGCTGTATGTGCCGCGCCGTATACGAGTACAGCATCTCTCGGAGTGAATATTAACCTCGCGGTTAGCTCCCCCTAGCAAGTACGGTATCTTGGTGTACCCACTGATCCACGAGGCGATCGGCCGTAGAAAAAAACTTGTGAGATTCCCGGCATTAAGATGCCTCCACAGTAAGGCTCGCCCAGAAAGATTCCTAGTACCAAATGGGAAGAACAAGCATAAGACCATCTCTCCGACTACAGTAGTATCCCATGCCGCTAAAACAAGACCAAAGGTGTGTGCTGCTCGCGAACTTACTTGTAGGTCGGAGGGCGAGCCGAGTAATGCCGGGGATCTTAAGCCGAGCCTGACTGGGAGTGTGAGTGCTGGGGGAGGGTCCCCGGTGAGGCGCCGAATGCCTCTCCGGTCTCAATCCTGGTCGGTCCTTTGGTAGCTGCTTTTTCTTTTTTCTTTTTTTTTCCCCTTTTTTCTTGTCTCGCCCACTCATAATGGTACGATGTGTGGCTGGGCAGAATTGAAGCTGCATATCACACACTTCCTGAGGGGTTCCGGCAAATCAGGCTGTGCAGGCAGCAGAGCCCTGACTGGCTCCGGGGGAATTGGTGAGGTCTCCGGACACGTGTAATGCTGCCCGTCGTTCTCAACGGAGCAGGGCGCATCCCACGAGCAGCTCGGTTGCGTCCAAGGGCCATAAAGCAACATCGAGCAGCGTCTTGTATTGGTGCCGCTGGGGGTTCCCACTCACCGCCCTGTCCTGCGGCTGGCTGGATTTTCCATCCATGGGTGCTTTGCCCGGGCTCATCTCCACCATATTCATGCATTTCCATGCAAAGCGTTTGTGATAAGAGCTCGAATAGGCCAATTTAGACGACTCGGTCAAGAACACGAGGACCACATGCTGCAGGGAGAGTCGAATCCTCCAAGACGCCGTCGCATACCGTGGCGGCTAAGTACTAGTTTGTGCACTTTGCACTTGTGTGAAACGCCGATGACATGGCAGTAACGGTAGATGTCTGCTTTTACTCGCCTCCAACGAGGCGTTCTCATTTCCAGGAGTTCACAACCCCTGTCGTATGCCGCCTTGTTTGCATTTCGGTGGCGTGCTAGTGCTTGTGGTAACCACGTTGAACCAGACGTCACCCTGGCCTGTCTCAGTTGACCATTTCCACAGACTTTGTCCTCTGCACTGGGAGAGGCTCGTTTCCCGTCGTGCTGCTATAATTATAATGAGTGGCGTTTTTTCATGTCTGTGTGAATGCTTGCCAGCCGTGTGTGAGAGCAGTCCAGGCCACTGTGGGTAGTTGAAATGAACTTACGTTTCCCAGAGTGAGACTGGATGATCTGCAGCCTAGGAAACTCGGGCTCTCCCTTCCGCTGTGACTATGACCCCATCGGTATTATGTGAGCTGAACCAGAATGACATGATTCTTTGATTGTACTGTAGACAGAGCTGGCTCGGAGTATTTGCCTTGTACGGGCAGTATGATAGATCATCTGCTCGGCTCAAAGGCTCCGGCATTGGCAGCCCATCATCACGCATTAGAGAGGGAAATGGATACTGTTGTACGAGTATACCAGCGAATTCCGGTTCGTCCCATCCTGTTCCGTGAGTATCTATATGAATTTGGTCTTGAAGCGGAACTGCCTCGTCTCACGCTTGGTGTTGGGCATCCGTTCCCGTGTTGGTGGTAAAGTCCGTTCTCGTCAACGATGTTGTTCTCTCAGCACGCTTGCAGCCCACCATCATCTTGGACCTTGTCATTCTTCGTTATTCCCAGCTCTGTGAACCCCGAACCTCTGCAATCATCTTCTCTGAGTAGTAAATCATCTTTGGATGAAATCAGAGAGCCGCACAAAGGAGATTTTTCTGCGCAAAAAACAACATGGAAGAGACATTCGAGTATATGGTGAGGATCGAATCTGGAATCCCCTCGTTATGCACCTCGTAAAGCTGTCTCCGAATAGGTGGTACCTGAGGCTGAGTTTGGGAGGTGCGTGTAGCTTTGTACCTGAGTCCCGAAGAATATCCGGGATTTTGACGAGTTCTTACCGCACCACCCACCGAGGCAAGTACGTCACCGCACAGCCACAGCCTTGTTGCCCGCTACCGTCAAAACACATCCGGATAGCTGTTTGGGACAGGATTGCGCAAGCTTCAACATCACCAGCTCGCATCTTGTGATTCGTTTCCATGACACCCACGTAACTGCCTACTCTTCTCCCTACTTCGCCCTTCTTATCCTCAGCTCCCTGCCCGAGCCGCTGCCTGGAGCGCACGTGTGACGAATCCTCTTCCCCGCGAGACTCAAAATCCACGCATCGCGACACTTCCGTCTTCGTCGAATTCAGTCCCGACTCTTGATACAGCTTCTCCGTGTCAATCAGCAGCTATGGAACTCTCTGATATCTTGTATGTCTCTTGCCTATCAGCATGGCTCGGGCGATGCAATTGAGCCCTTGTCACTAACATTTGCGCCTTGATGCGCCGCAGCCGCATTGTGAACCTGGCCGTGGCGGGCATCACCGTTCTGGGAGGCGTTTTCCACATCTTCCCATTTGGCCCGTAGGTTCCCCCGAAAAGAAAACAACGTCTGAGTCTCTATCATTTGAATGCAATGGGAAATGCTGTCATGTTATGATGACGCTGCGTTTAATGACCCTTTTGGCTTGCGGGGCTGATATGTGATCGACGACGCTGATTGTTACTCAAATTTTAGCCAAAACTTCATCATTGGTCTCTATATGATTGTATTTGGTCTCTCTATCGCACTTCTGGGTATGTCCCTGGCTTGTACCCCGCATTACTTTGGAAGTAGGATGGTACTAACCAAGACTTCAGAGTTCCAAATCCCCCCGCAGGTTTCAAGATACGCCAACTTCCTCTTTTCCTTTATTGGCCGTGGTATCTGTATGTTTGAGTGTCCAGTTTCTTTTTTGGGGGAGGAGAGCTGTTCTGACAAATTTGATAGTCTATATCCTTCTCGGAGGCCTTCTTCTTGGCGAACACCTCATTAGCAACATTGCTGGTGGTGCTGTTGGTATCATCGGTATCGGCTACGTCGCCCTCGAGTTCATTCCCTCGATCGAACCCCCGAGCAACATGCGAGAGGCTGACGTCGGCTGGGGTGCCGAGCAAGTCTAAACAGGCATTACTGGCAAGACTAAGCAATGAGGAGCATGACCCTCTCACTTGCGCGAGATTACAGGTCATATAGCAGATACACAGGGATTGCTTTCTTCTTTCCACGTGTTGTAATAACACGCGGTTCAGATAAGCTCCTCCTAAGGATCATTACGGAGATAGAGTCGGTGGCGTGAGAATGGAAGGTTTCGGGAGGTTCATATGTGTTACACTGCAAGTCAAGGGTTATGGTTTCAGCCGGATCCAAGTATTAGCATACGGTAGTTTTATAGGCTGTTAATGTCGATAGCACGAAACAAAATACAATACATGATATGACAAGGTTTCGATTCAAGTTTGTTCCAAATTCGTAACTGATAGTACATTTGGGCTCAGAGCCCTTTCCATTTTGTTTCCTTGGTTTTTCTTTTTTTGTTTACTGCTTCTTCCACTGTCCCGCATCCTCCACTCCCTTGGAAACACTTTCCAAGCCTCCCTCTAGCCCCGTTCCAATGGAGCTCACAGCATCTCCTACAGGACGACCAGTCTCTCCGGTGACGTTGTTGACAGTGCCTCCAAGGCCTCGGGTTGCCGCACCAGCAACTCCTCCGACAGTGCGGCCCAAGCCGCCGACTGTGTTGCCTAGGATGCCCGTAACGGATTGGGCAGTGCCAGTGACTGTGTCAGTCAAGTTGCCGGTATCGGTCTTCTTATCTTCGGAAGACATGTTGTATGTTGTTGTGTTGTTGGTTGGTATATGTGGTTGTGTTATGTGAATGTAGTTGGAGTATAGGATACTTTCTTCTTGAGATGAAGTGTAACGAGTAAAGAGAACATTCCAAGAATTCCAAGGATGAAGCGAGGGTATACCAGATATATATAATAGAAAACACTGGCGATCGGCATCGTGGCGCATGACGTCAAGGCAACGTGGAAGAACAACACCCGCCATTTGCCTTTACGCACCATCAGCTATTCATGACGTTTTTAGCGCGTGTGCCATCAGGATTTCTGGAAGACATGCCGAGAGCTGTTTATTGGATGCGAAGCTGAGGATTGTTTGTTGGGGTATTTGCCATCGGCTGTGCCTAGGTACATGGATTGTGATGGAGCGTTATATGGGTAATGAATCAAATGTAATCAGATTATGATATAGGTGAAATGGCAATTATACACTGTTACCAGTATCTAGCGAATACCTGGCAGATACCTACATGTACAGGTAATGTAATGATCCATAAGGTACTAATTGATCGTCGTTGTAATCCTCCTCTTACCTAAACTACCCAGTACCTACCTATTAAGCATGTTGCACTCCAGTATTTCCCCAAGAATTCATGCTGTCAATCTCCCAAGAAGAAAAAAACACATCGACAACAGATGAAAACAAAATTTGTACAATTCTATTTGCATGTGATTGAGCATCAACATCTGCATGTGAATGTGGCAACATCTCTGGATACGGAATCGTCAGCTAAGCTGCCACGCTATATCCGACATTAAACTTTGCCCCAACAAATCTATCTCGATGGCAATCTAGATTTATCATCTGGAGACATATCGAGCTTGATAATGTTTTTTTGACATGTGATGACTGTTTTTACAGCCATCAAGGTCAGATTACCATTGTCCTGCATGTGCTATGTGTAGATTCACGGATGCTTCACGATCCTTGGAGCAGTCACTTGACAGATTTTTTTTTTCACCCAAACTATACGAGGCACCATCGAAGCTCAAGATTTAGAGTGGCAATATCACGAGTATCATCGAGTTCCTTGTATGCTCTTTCACATGCTTTTTGATATCGTAGAAGGACATCTCCGAATATCTAGCGCAAAGCAAGTCTGTCTTTCATTGTATTCTCATAAATCGGCAAACAAGTCTAACTCTTGATTTAGCGTCTAAGGCTTGCAACGGTGCATGTAACGAGGATACAAGCAGCAATCTCTAACAGTATGCTGCTTGCAAAGCCAGGCAAGGAATCGCTCCAGTCCCAGACCGTAGCCTCCGTGAGGAGAGCTTCCATACCTGGAAAAGAAAAAATGTCATTAGCCAATGAACGGATGGAGTTTCAAAACGAGGACTTGTCATCAACTTACTTTCTCTGATCAGTGTACCAGTAGTAGGCCTCGGGCTCAATGCCCTCGCGCTTGTACGCCGCCATCAACTCCTCGTAGTCGTCCATTCTCATCGATCCACCGACAATCTCTCCAACACCGGGCATCAAGCAGTCAACACTCTCGGTGACGCGAAGATCATCCTGATCTTTTGACATGTAGAATGATTTGATCTCAGCCGGGAAGTGCGTCAGGAAGATGGGTTTGTTGATGATGTCCGTCATGCGACGCTCAGCGGCTTCGGCAATATCGTCACCAAAGGCATGGGGCTTGCCCTCCTCGTTGGGAATATCGTGCTCAACAAGCCAATCGATTGCCTCCGAGTACTTCATGCGCATAAAAGGCCTCTCGGGAAGTTTGAACTCGGGGTTCATGGCCTTGATCTTTTCAGCAACGACGGGGTCCTCCATGACCAATTCGAGCACACGGCACATGATTTGCTCAATGTGTGCCAATAGGTCGTCAAAGGTGATGAAGTCAAGCTCAGCCTCAACGTGCGTGAACTCGGACAAGTGTCGTCGGGTCAGAGACTTTTCAGCTCGGAAAGACTTCTCGATACAGTAAACGTGACCCATTGAAGGCAGGCAGGTCTCCAGGTACAACTGAGAAGATTGTGTGAGGTAGGCGTCCTCGCCATAGTAGTCAAACTTGAACAGCGTAGCGCCACCTTCGACCTGTGTCTGGACGAGGGCGGGAGGGCTGACTTTGCGGAACCTCAGCTCCTTGTAGGCCTGGTTGAAGGCCCACTCGACGGCATCGCGGACAATCATGACGCCCGAAGCGACTTCACCACGAAGTGTAAGGTGTCGTTGGTCGAGAAGCATGGCCTGCTCGGCGTCTGCCTGAACTCTGTTGGTGATGGCATCGTCACCACCGGGGGCCTTCCAGTGCTTGGGAATCTTGAAGAAGTCGGCGTGTAGTTCGCGGTTGAGAGGAGCCCGGGCACCGGCAGGGACTTCTCGCATCTCTCCCAGAATTTCCATTGAGGTTTCACGGGTGAGGGTAACAGCATCGTAGGTCTTTGCCAGCTGGCCGGAGATGACCACCTGCATAAAGCCATAGCCGTCTCTCAGTGTTACAAACATGACATCCTTTTGCTTGCGCTCTCGATGCACGCGACCAAAGACGCGTACTCGAGTACCTTTGCTCTCAGGGTCATCCACCTTGCGGAGCTTGATGTGATCGCCAACCTCGTCGAGCCCAATTCGAACCGCAGCAGGAAGACTGGGGTCCTCAGTGATGACAATGGCCTTGGCGGCTTCCAAGGCCTTGGCTCGCTCCTCTTCCTCCTTCTTGCGCCTGACAACCAGCTCCTGTTCCTTGGCGGCCTTCTTCTTCTGCACGTCGAAGAAGTTGACTGCCTTCTTCAAGGCAGCCTTTGCGACGGGTTTCCACTCCTTTGCGGCCTCATCTTCGGCTTGCGACTTGCGGGTCAGATATTGGGCTTCAGCGGGACGCTGGAGATAGGCGAACTGCAGCGTCTTGTAGGGGGACTCCTCGGTGCCGGCCTGGGGAACCTCGTCCTTGCCAATGTCTTCGTCAATGTAAATTGTCGCCATCTTGGGCTGTCGCTCGTGATCCTGACGGATTTCTTTTGCAGCGATTTCAGGCCCAAAGGGTGCGGGGCGGACGTGTGATCTTGTAGTTGAGTCACAAAGAAATTGGGAGCAAAGACGCATTGACCCTTATCTTTTCTTATCACCCCGCCGGAAGTCGCTCTGGAGGCTGTTTTTGCTATTTGCCCGATGTTGACCCGGAGACCCTTACTGGAAGGAGAAGGATCGTATAATAAAGCACGGTGTTTCGACCCCAAATCTTTATCAGGGAGGTGTCAAGGCTCATTCAGGTGGATTTTGTTGGCATACGTTTTCTTTTCAGTAGATAATTTGCATAAATTGCCGACAGCTACCGTATCTGAAAACATACACAAGGCGGTGTCCAAGGTGGGATCGAATACGAACAGTGTTTCTTCCAACCGGTATCTTCAAATGCCCTCCAGGAAGCGTCTTGTTTGGTCTTGATTAAGAATCAATTTCAAATCAGATTATCAGTCAGACCTTTTAGTGCGTGTATGTATCAAATTGTTTCATCAAAGATATATATATCATATCAATGCTGGAACCTGAAGCTGCCAGGCCAGAGCCCGTAGAATTGACAAGGCAAATCAAATCGAAGTAACACATATCGCTATCCAATGTTGAACTCGCTAGCTCCAGTCGTGAGCATCCTACTCTTACGCATAAGCATGGCTCTCGCCGGCTTTGCCTGATCCTGCTTGTCGCTGTCGCTGTCATCATCGTCATCTTTCTTGGCTCCTTTGACGCCCTTGGCTGTCCTCTTCCCTGCCTCCTTGCCACCCTTTTGTGCCTTTCGGTCGAGACCAGCGCCAATTCCTCCTGGCGGGTCACGCAATCCATAGGCTTTTGCAACATGTCCTAGATGCAGCTGAGTGATATCGAAATGAACACGCTCTTCTCGGGTATGTGTCGCATAGGCTCTGATGTGCGACTTGAAACCGTTCCTCGCCAGTTCGAGTCGTTTGCTATCGATGAGGAGTCGCTGCTCCAAGTGAAGTTGTAAAGTTTCCGCTTTATCGTGATAAGATTTCCCATCTTCTGGTTTAGCTGTTGTTTCCACGGGGAATTCCAGTTTGGTCATCAGGCCCTTTTGTAGCACAGATTCATATGATAGAGGGGACGGCGAGCCAGAAGCTTTGAGGAGCTCAATGTAGCCCTCCTCCGTGCCGGGAAGGAGGAATATGACCGCGTCACCAGAGCGTCCAGCTCGCGCTGTTCGTCCAATTCGGTGAATGTGATCGGCAAAGCTGAAAGCAGGGTCATATTCAATTACCAGATCAACCGAAGGAATATCTAGACCACGAGACGAGACATCTGTTGTAATGAGAAGAGAGGGGGACTTGCAGGCCGAGAACGATTTCAGTGTTGCCGTTCGTACTGGCTGTGAAAGGGAGCCATGCATCCTGTGCAGCACTACTTCGGGGCTTGCAAGAGATGTGATGTACGCCGCCTTTGCAACGGTCTTGGAGGTATTTTCCGCGTCTTTTGTTGCCGGCTGAGGCACCTCGCCGCTTTCGGGGATTTTGAGAAGTTCGTAATGGAAGTCGACTGTATCAGCGCAGGACATGAAGATAATGGCCTTCATTGTGTGACCGCGGCGAGAGAAGACAGATTTGAGATAGGCCATAAGCGTTACCAGTCTCAACTTGGCGGGTACAATGATGTGCGACTGGTGCAGTTGTGCTGGAGCCTTGTGAACAGCCTGCTCGTCCTTGTTTTCGGCCGCAGTCCCGGCACCCTTTTCAGCAGCTAAAAAGGTGGCATCAGCAAGACTCATCTCGCCAAGCTTCTGTACATTCATCTTCATTGTAGCAGAGCATAGAACGGTGACTCTTCGATCCGGAAGCGGGTCGAGAGACACTCCAGAAGAGAGAGTTTTGGACAATTCCACCTGCTTAAGAGCATTGATGGCTTTCCTCAGATCTTCTTCGAAACCCAAATCCATCAGTCGATCGCCTTCATCTAGAATAAGCCACCTTACGGTGCCCAAGTTAAGAGCCTTGGTATTATCGATGTGGTCGGCCAATCTTCCCGGAGTTGCCACCAAGAAGCTGATGCCTTTCCGAAGCCGGGCTTTCTCCGCCTTCTTTGACTCTCCTCCGGTAATGGCGGTAGAAACCAGCCATGGAAACGGCCTGATGAGCTGTTCTAGAACTGTATGTGTTTGTTTGGCAAGCTCGCGAGTGGGCGCGACTATGATGGCGAAAATGCCCGAGTCTCGATGAATCTGCTGTTCGCCGCGTCCGCTGAGGAGGAGAACTCGATGCAATATAGGAAGAAGGTAGGCAAACGTCTTTCCCGAGCCCGTTTCAGCTTGGACAAATGCATCTGAGCTGCTAGACAGCATGTGAGGAATGACTTTTTGCTGAATTGCCGTTGGTCGCTCAAGATTCATCTTGCCAAGTGCCTCAACAAGTCGAGAAGATATCGTCAGGGATCCGAAATTAGCCACTGTAAGAAGCGGTGCGTTTGTTGGCTCTGGTTCCTTCCACTCGGTCTCGTCATCAAATGTCGTCTTCTGCTCTGGGTTGAACGAAAACAAGCGAGAAACGACCTGGCGCGACCCTTTCCCGGGGCCTTTATTTTGTCCAGGGGCGTGGCCGTGATCTGCCGTTTTCTTCCGTTGAAAGTCTGTGCGACTTTCTGAATCGCCTTCTGTGCGTCTCCCCGGCCCATGGCCATCAACTCTCTGCCTCTTTGCCGATCGCTGGTCATCGTCAAGACCTGATCTCTCGACTGCTGGGCGTGACCCAAGCTTTGCGCTCTTCTGTGCCCGCTTCCTGTCCCTCCAGCTTCCACCGGTGAATTTGACCTGCGGCTTGAGCGGCCCACTGCCCAGCTCAAAATTCATCAACATTCCATCGTCAGCCATGGTGGGAGTGGCCTCGTCTCTCGGGTGGTTGTTCGGTGGGGCTTCGACTTTGAAATGTTCGTCTCCAGAAAAAAAAAGAGGCAATTGGTTTTTTTGCTTTGGAAAAAGTCTTATCGATAACAGTCGATAATGCGGCTAGATATCTACGATAAGATATGCATGGGTCTTTGTGGCACAAGTAAAAGCTGCGCCAAGAATACAGGTAAGTACGAGAGCTTAATGACCAACACACTGTAAACCGAACGGTCTATGTGGTTATGTGATGAGTGGGTTAGGCGAATAAGGGGGCGTATTTTAAGTCCTTTTAGCGCTATGGGTTACCGGTTTATCCATTAGTAAAACAAGCTGCAGTCTCCCCTAGATCAAGTTACTAGTAGACAGGATTTTCTCAAGATGCAGTATTAGAAACCTTGAGTAGAAGGTAGTCGGACATTTCGCACGGAATCTCATCAAATCATATTCGTTTTGTAGTTACTCGTCTAGCTCAGGCGAAACCACTCTGACTCTCTTCTTCCCGCTTTCGCCTTCTATTATCTCTCTCTTCTTCCGCTTTCTCCTCTCTAGTTCTTCCTGTATCTCGTCATGGATAGGTTTCCATGCTTCGTCTTCAAGAGCGTCTGTGGCACTAGGACGATCTTGTGGTTCCCATGCTAACATACGTCGTAAGAGTTTAGCAAATGGTTCCTGTATGCGTCCCTTCTTGGTGCACTTATCTAGTATGGGTTGTAACTTTCTGTGTGAGTGTTGTCTTATCATCAAGTCCTCTGGTGGCTTCATCAATGTAAAGAGCCATGAAGCTGCAAGCGCCCAGATATCAAGTTTTGTCTCGTCTAAATCATCTCCATCCTTCATTCTATCCCAAACCTCAGGTGCGATGCAAAGGCTTGCATTAGGTTTTTTCTTTCGCTCTCGTATGTTAAGAGAAATAACTGCCGTTCTTGTACGGGGTTGGCCCTCTGTTTTAAAATCCGTTTCAGTTAAGAAGAGTAGCGACTCTGGCAAAATACTACCATGAGTAATATTTTCTTCGTGCAGCCTAGATAGCCCCAATAAAGTCTGATAAAACAAAGCAAGGCGTGCTTTATTGATTTTGGCCCACTTCGTGTCACGAAAACTATCCTCGGCTAGAGGCATCGAATAGTATAGTTTCTTGCAGACACGCCTGTCGGATAAGCACGAGGGGGAACAGTGGCGTTCACACCACACATTGATGATGCCGAGCACGCCCTGATCTCGCCTCTTATGATACTGGCGAGCGACCCGGAGCCGGTCGATACTGTATGGCAGTGATATCGTGCTTGTGTCCAATTCTTTAACGGCCATCGGCTCCCCAGTGAAGATATTAACGCCTGACGTTATTGATGAGTGCGGTTTGTTGGTGTGTAGCCAGATATCCCGGGAGGTTTGGGAGTGTTCCATGGGAGAGTGATTGAGTCCTAATAGATAGTGAAGGACGGGGTGGTCGGTTGGCTCTGTTTTAGTCTTGCTTTGACCTTGAACGACCAATTCGAGATCAAAGAGATAATTGCCAAATCGAAGATAATTGTGAATATGCCGCATGACACAGGCTAGCGTTTTGTCTCGGGCCAATTCCAAATCTTTACCATCTATATCGCCTTTCAGGTAGGTAATAGATCGAGTTGAGGTTGCCTTGAACATTAACACGTGTGATTCTTTATGAAGATAGAGAGTGGCGTGTAGGTGTTTAAAAAAACGACGTGCTGTTGCGGCGCTGATTCCATCTGGCGGACAAAGCAGAATATCGGGTTTGATGTGCTCAAAGTTCCCGCTACTGATTGCTTCAGTTGGGCCGGCCCCAATTCGCCACGTGCGTTTAAAGTCGGCATTGCTCGGTGATGAGGCTATTGACAAGTGGTAACCGATTTTGCCTTTATAGCATTTCAGGGTCGCGGGTGATAACTTGGACTGAATAAGATCCAAAAGGTGAACAGCAGCTGGATTAGCAGCGGAGAGGATGGCAAAAGTCACGGTTTCCGCCGGAGGTGCTGGTTGTGGGTCTGATGCTGTGTCCAACATCGGGATTATCGCGATCTGTACCACAAAATGGATGGTTGGATGACCTAAGCTATATGATAGGTACAATTGAGAAGTTATGATTTGCGATGGTCTTGAGAAAAAGTGTCTTGAAGAGAAGATCTATATGACAGGCTCAGCGTGATCTGCCTCCTAGATGTACCCATCTTGTATCATGTCACAACCGCGAAAAAAACGCCTCATCACGTGACTGGTTATCAACCATCTCCTGCTTGGTGCAACTTCGACATATCGATCAGTCATATAGTATAAACACATCCCACGACATCACCACGATATACATTACCGCAACAACGAAGCGGCGCTTCACCGATCAGAATCATGGCGAAACGGCAATTCGATGACAGTGCGCTTTTGCCGCGAAAAAAGGCCAAGCTGCACGCTATTCATGATGACGATAATCCCAACACTCAAGGTTTACATTCACCGTCCCCCCCGCCGTTGACGTTAGCGGGCTTCGAGCGGCGCGAAAAACGAAAAAGATCACTAGATTTGCAACCTGACACATCCGAGGAACCAAAAGCAAAACAGGCTCGTAGAAGCCAAAGCCCTGAAGAGTCATCAGATACGCACTCAATACAGTTCGAGCTCCTCGACACCGATGAAGACGAGGACAACCACCCCAAATCGGATCCTTGGCGAGAGTTTTGTATACAATCCACAAGAGAAGCCGAGGAATACCTCAGCACGGTCAGAATCTGCAGATGCCGCAACCACCAAACCCGACTACTAAGCCCAAGTCTTTCCAATGAAGACACGACCGATGAGGACGTGGCCGATGAAGGTGCGACCGGAAGCAACCAACTGGGATTCCCAACTATTCATCCAAGTGCAACAGAATGCATCAACTATCCCCGACCTATCGCGCGAAAGCAGCCCCACGCTTCCCGTACTCTCAGAAAACGCGATACGACAACACCTCAAAGGAAACGGCGGCAGCCTCTCAAAAAGGATAAAGAAGAGAGCAAGCAGAACAAGTCACGAGATAAAGCTATCGAGGCATTTTTGAGTTCAAAGCGATCATCTAGGCGGAGCCGTGATTGCACGTTGTGGCAATTAGGCGACGACGGTATGGCGTGCACAATATCGATAGCGAGGTGATTTATCCGGGGGATTGGGGGCTGAGTGCGAGCCAAGCAGATAAAGGGCATACTCGTTAACCTGGCAGGGCTGGGGGCAGCGGGCAGTCTTTTAGATGCATTGACTACCAGTACCTCGTGGCACGAGCATCACCTTACAGCATGGTCGTTAATCTGACAGGGTCGGAGGCAGCGGCGCAGCTGAAGAGGCATGCAAGTCACGATGGAGCCGGTTCCAAACACATGGTCGTTATCCTGGCAGGGCTGGGTGCAGCGGCGAAGTCTTTGGACGTCTCACGATCCAATCCCCAGTTGACAGTTTCACTACATGGGCGAAGGACGAGCGTTGTTTTTGTTGTATGATACCCTTTTGGCAGCCATGGATGTGTTCGAGGATGGTTGCGCTAGTTAGAGGACAGTTTTCAATGCAGATGTTTTCCTCGTAGTCTCGAAATCTAAAAAGAAGAAAGCACCTGCGTTCTTTTTTTCCAATTTCTATATTTATAGCCGAGGATTAGCGCGGTAGACCTCACCAGCGATTGAACATTGGGCATCACGCCTGTTGCACATATAGTAGTTGAGCGGAATCAAGCTCAAGAGGGTGCTACGCCCCATCATTTAAACAAGGAACTTCAACTGGTTTTTCGTCTATACAATAGCTGCCGCAACTACTTCAATCTTATCTATCTCGCGGATCTAGCAGGACGTTAGGTAGATAACACACCAAGATGAACCCATTCCGAAAAGTGACGGAATATGCTCCGACTTTCTTTGGCAGGTATAAAAACTATTTATTTACAACGGTCTACAAAATTGCTTTCACCCGCTTAATATAACTATTGTGCAACGTCAAATCATTTACTCCGAAGACACTCGGTGGACATATGATTTGCCCAGTTGAGATGAAATAGAAAAGAAGATGGGCTCATTTATCCGCCTGGGGTATAAGTAATAAAGCCATAGGAGATGTTTGGATGAACTCCCTTGGATTTGGAATCCTCTATTACATCAGATTACAATACCAAAGAGTTCTGCGAGCTCCAATGAATGAGCATCGTATGGAGGGGTTTTGTTAAGATCGGGGCACGGAAAACAAGCAGAATACAGCGGCCGGCTCGCCTATTGACGGAGAGGCCACCGGGCGTGCGGCGGCCGGGGCGTAGAAAATATGCCGAGCAGCTCGGAGATGCTAGGCCTTTGTCCGTAGCATCCGAGCCGTGTGGCAGTACGAGAAATAAGCCACCCGTGTCTGTTACATGCGGGTGCAGACGGGACAATTTTGCCAGAGTCCCGGCCATGTGACGGGCTGAGTTTTGGCGCACAGAAGGGTTGCAAAAAGGGCTCCACGCTGAGAAGCGACATATTCATTTTAGGGTTTGCTGCCATGAGGAGGCTAACTGCCATCCATAGTGGAAGGCCTCTTCTAGAAACCTCTGGACAGTTGTTGTGTTAGCATGGTGGCTGTTTGGCAGTTGAGGCGATTTGAGGCGTTCACTAATAACCATTGCCACTCGATGAAGACGGAAGCATGTGCAGACGCAGATCGACAGCAAAGAAGCATCACCTTGCCAGGAGCTGTCTGACGAGAGACGGTTAATGGTTCGTGCGCGTCTAATTCAGAAACAGATGTCCGGAGTTGCAAAGATAATGCATGATGCCCCGACTCTGTTCGGGCGCTTCGTACTTGGTGGAATTAAACGCCCATTGTCGCTAAAATGTTACTACCACACACACCCACAATCGCTGGTGTCGGGTTCCCCAAGTGTCCGACACTGCGTCTCTGCCACTCATCCGTGCTCGAAACACGGAGACTAATACAGATTGATGTAGGATGGGCGTCGCACCTTGCATTGTGGAGGGTCATCGCGGGTTGCCTATCAAGGCCATGTGTCTTTTCTTACTGCGACGCGCATGCTGTGTACGTTCCAGAGGCAGAAACCACGTAATGCTGTTGAGATTGGTCTGAGGGATTAAAACATTGGCTCACTTTGCAGGACTTGGTTTTGATACGACAATATTGATACGTAGGTTTACCTGTCAGGCACATGCAGATGTCGTCGAGTTAATCCCTTGCAAATAATACGAATACCTAGGTGCTCGTACTTGTCCAGAAGCAAAACTGCCTCGGACGGAGACTCAAGAATGCCGGGCTCAGCTTCTCGGTCAACTGGAGGCCCATTCTGGCGCATCTCACGGAGCATCTCCAGGGCCCGCCGGCGGTTCCGGCTTCTCCCTTTGGTCCCCACGGGTCGGACAGGGAATCCCAGCGAATGGGAGCCGGTTTCTTCTCGCCGCGGCCAATCAGGGCCATCGCCATCTTCGTTTCTACTCTGTCAACCTGGGACTTGTGGGACGCGCATGCCTTGCCGCCTTGCCAGAGAAAAATTGATTGCCTCAATTCTCTATGTTTCTTTACCTAGACAAGTGGGCGGGATGAAGCAGTTTTGGGTAAGGCTCGGTGCAGGTGAGTTTAGAACCCCAGACTTGCAGAGATCAAATGCGTGTACTGTAATTTGCCTATGACGCACGCGATGGCGACGATGACCCGAAGGAGCACGGATAAGTTTCCATGTTCTTTTGAGCTCTAGGTATTCTAAATTTGCCTGCGTCTCATTTTACCTCAAGTGCGTTAATGAGATTTAATGAGACCGCATGTACTAAGCCACGGGGGACGGAGATGGGCGTCTGATGTCGCTTTTGTGACTTCCTATTTCTCTCCATAGTCCATATAGACAATGCAGCAGTAGCGGCATCTGCAGGCTATCAATGTAGTGAGTGCATTGGACTGGAGAGCGTCTGCATTACCAAGCATACATGAAGACGCAGGAAAGAAGAAGAAAAATTCGACAACTGGAGCCATATCTGCACTGCAACTCTTTTCAGCCCGAGTCATCTCCACATGCTCGTGCCTCTGAGGCTTCCCGAGTCCACCCTTCCAGTGCGCTAGCGTCAAGCACCTGTAGCAGCGCTACTGGCATCTTCTAGGCGGCTTAATGCCTCCACCCGCGCTGTTTACGTAGGTGCTGTCGCTGGCCCTTTAGCGGCATCCTCCATCCTTCCACGGCACTTCAGAGCCCTGGGCCGAGAGAATAAGGCCGGCACGGGCCCCCCGCCATTTTCTCCCGGTCTTATTTTCTCTCTCTTTTTTTTCTCTTACATCTCAAGTCAGCGCACACAAACGACAAGGAAAAAAAAGAAGATAGTCGAGGCTGGACCCTTTCTTTTCGTCCCAGCCCTTGACTTTCGGTTGTCTTTTTCTTCTTCCATTCTCATTCTCCTTTTTTCTCCCCAACCATTTTTTCAATTTACATAGCGCGTTTGTTTGACGGCTTCCAAGGCTGTCAAATGAACCTGCAATCGCCCACTATCTTTTTTTCCCCCGTAAGTCTTGGCCCCGATTTTTGCTTTTGCCTCCCACGCTTCAATGCGCTGCGCTGCGTGTGCGCCGTCACCGAGTTGCACCCGTGACGGGCCCAAGTAAAACATGGACGCATTACTTCCATCTTGTCTCACTCTTTTGTTGTTGTTATTGGGGGTATCCAATTCTCTGCAGAATCGATAGACCCCTTGCAACATCATGCCTCTTTCATCTTCGCAGTCCGATATATGAATCCGCAACTAATCAACCCGTCTCATATAGTCTATACCTCCCGCTATCTAAATGCCCATCTACTCCTCGCTGTACTCGAATTTTATCCGTCAAGGATCTACATTCGCCAAATCCGTCACCGCCCACGGCTACGCACAATCCGTCGTAGCTGCTACTCACCCTCACGTCCTCAACTCTCAGAACCGCCCCGTCTTTCGACGACAGCCGAACCGGTCCAGTCGTGCCTCGGCGTTTCCCCTCTATTCTGCCTTCCATAACGAGAAGCTATCATCCGGGCTCCCAGCCGAGCACCGTCATGTCTCAAACCATGGAGGTCTAGATGCCTACTTCGAGGCCCTGCAGAAGCAGCAGGCCGCCGGAGAGGAAGAAGATAACGAGTGGACACAATTCGATTTCCCCAAGCGCATCGAGTGGAAGCCCAATGCGTCATCGGTTCTCGCTGGTGAGAATGGGGTCGAGGCCAGCGCGGAAGCTGCCGAGCAGGTCGCTGCGGCCGAAGCCAGCAATGAGATTGTGGAATCTCAACATCTGATGTCGGCGGAGGAGGAGGCAGCTCTTGCACACATCGATGCTGCTCTGGAAAAGGAAATCCAGGCGCGGACTCTCCAAGCGGCTGTCGAAAAAGCTGCCGCTGCAGGTCTCTCTCTTTCTGTCCCTCATTCACGTGCGCGGACGCCTGCGCCTGCGGTGGAAACATCACAAGGCACAGCTCGCATTTCCCGCACGGGTTCTCCGTCTGTTCAAGAGCAATCTCAGTCGTATGCGGAGCATCTAGAGAAGCTGTCGGGTGCCGCCCGGTATGCTGAGATCCCGGCCGTTTTCGAGGCCATGCTGGCGACTGGCGTCCAGCCCATTGCCAGTGCCTACAACGCTCTGCTGTTGGCCGCAATCCATTTGCCTAGCCAGCGAAGCGAGGTCGTCTCCAAGGCGCTGGATGTTTATGCCGACATGATGCGCCGGCGAGTGTCCCCTGACGGCCAAACTTTCAACATTCTTGTCAACATGCTTTCTTCGCGTTCTCTCGAGGTCTCAGAAATGAAGTCACTTCTTGAGGAAAAACGACTGCGATATGGTGGAATGGATGAGCCCGGCAAATTCATGTTTACCTCGCACGAGCTGGAGCACGCCATCTTGTGTGAGGATGAGCGCCTCGATCTGGCTGTCAAGCTGTTTGACATATCTTTCGACGCCGGCAAAGTTTCGTACTCGGCAGAGACGTATCGACAGCTGATCTCGGCCTGCGCTCAGGTAGGCCGAGTGTCCGATATGCTGCGATTCTATGAGCATATGGAGCTCAGCGAGATCGTTCCTTCGGCCGACGTCTTCCCCACCATGATTACCGCATATGCCAAGTCCGGAAATCTCATCAGCGCTGTGGAGTGCTACAACGAGTACCGTAGCCTGGCCATCTCTCACGACGCCGGAAGCTCTTCGCTCGGCGATCGACTGGACGCCCAAGTGTATGCCTCGGTCATCAACGCCTATGTCATCTCCGATAAGATTGAGGGCGCAATGAAGTTTTTCAAGAAGATTGTGGACGAATATGGCGTCTCCGTCACCGATATGAAAGATGCCTTGGTCGACCTTGGCTTCATCAAGGGATTCATCGCAAGGGGTGTCTTCCAAGAGGCACTTCAGTGGGCCCAGTCCCTCAATGCTAGCGCCCGCGACCAAGCCATGATGAAGGTTGCCACGATTGCTGCTGATGGCAACGATGCCACCACCGCGATTGAAGCTTATGCCAATATCCATGCGGCAAATCTTCAAGACCTCGCTGCCCCCTCGATTGCCCTTCTGGCCATGAGCGTGCGGCTCGGCGATGTTGCCTCGGCTTCAAAGTATTGGCACGTTCTCTCCAACCCCGAGATGCATGCCACGGCTGCCTTCATTGAGCCCACTGCCATGTACGCGGTTTCGCTCATTGGTTCCGGCCAGGTTGCAGAGGGCTTGGCGCAGTCGGAGATGATGTTCCAAAGAATCCGAACCACCGAGTCCGAAATGCGCCTCCAGCTTGCCGAGGAGATTGATGAGGGCTCCGACTTCATTGCCCGCTACATGGAATCCCGTGGTATTGTGGACACCCGTGAGCTGGCCTCCCAGATGTCGACAATCCCGTCACAGGCGCATAGCATTTCTCCCTACTTGTCTACCCCCACAGTCTCCAGCTACGAGGACAACTATGACCCATATGCACACAACACCGACTTCAAGGGCTCCTCTTTGATCGCCGATGACTTGGAAGGTAGCCATGGCCGCAAGGGCCCTCGTCTCAACGAAGCTCTCAACCGATTCCGAAACATGCGACGAGCTGGCAGACACCCCCGATATATCACGTATGCAAAGCTGATTTCCGCCGCTGCTCGTGAGAGCAAGATGGATCTCTGCCAGGATGTTCTCGCCATGGCTCGCACTGATGTTCCCCCGATTGCTCACAATGCTGTAGTCCGTTACGGCTGGTCTTCGATTCTGGACGCAATGGTCGGCGCTTGCCTGACGCTGGGTAACCGCGGACGGGCTGAGCAGTACCACCAAGAGCTGCTTGAAATGGGCGCCACGCCTTCTGCAAACACCTTTGGGCTGTACATCACCACGCTGAAGGACTCCACCAAGACATTTGACGAGGCCTCGGAAGCAGTTCGCATCTTCTTGCGCGCCAAGACCGAGGGTGTCGAGCCCAGCTCTTTCTTGTACAACGCACTGATCGGCAAGCTAGGCAAGGCCCGTCGCATTGATGACTGTCTCTTCTACTTTGCGGAGATGAGGGCGCTTGGCATCAAGCCAACTTCGGTAACATATGGCACCATTGTCAATGCACTGTGCCGTGTCAGCGACGAGAAGTTTGCGGAAGAGCTCTTTGACGAGATGGAGGCCATGCCCAACTACAAGGCGAGACCGGCACCCTACAACAGCATGATGCAGTTCTTCCTGACGACAAAGCGAGACAAATCCAAGGTCCTTGCCTATTACAGCCGCATGATGTCCAAGGGCATTGCCCCCACCTCTCACACTTACAAGCTTCTGATCGACACGCACGCTACTCTGGAGGCGGTGGACCTAGAGGCCGCCGAACGAGTATTGGAGGAGATGCGCGCGGCCGGCCAGCGACCCGAGCCGGTGCACTATGCATCGCTCATCCACGCCAGGGGTTGCGTTCTCCACGACATGGAAGGCGCGCGAAAGGTTTTTGATTCGGTCGTAGAGCAATACCTGGTCCCTGTCAACGCCAGCATCTACCAGGCTCTGTTCGAGGCCATGGTAGCCAACCATCGGGTTGCCGAAACCGAGACGGTCCTTGCAGAGATGCGAAGCAAGAAGGTGGAGCTCACGCCCTACATTGCCAACACTCTGATCCATGGTTGGGCCGCAGAGAAGAAGATCGAAAAGGCCCAGGCCATCTACGATGCTGTGCCTCGTGAGAAGCGCGAGCCTAGCACGTATGAGGCCATGACACGAGCCTTCCTTGCAGTCGAGCAGAGAGAAGAAGCAAAGGCAGTCGTGGGAGAGATGCTTACTCGCGGATACCCCAGTGCCGTGGTCAACAAGGTTCTTGAGCTGCTCGGCGGAGGCCAGGAGGCCAGCTTGGAGTGATTTGGTACACACCACATCATACAGCCAACATTTTTCTTTTCCCAGTTTTGTTACAGCGACATCATGTCTCTTGATTTTCTTTGTCTTTTCATTTGTTCTTTTTTTTCTCTCATTTCTACTTTAAGCCTCGACGTGTTTTGATACCCCTTTGGCATGCAGATTGGACGGTGTTTGTATTGGGGTGTCGTCCTAATATCAGAGGCTCTGCGTGGTGTTTTTGAATTCCATTTCCATCCTGTTTTCTTCTGTTGCTACAGGATGGCACGGCGTTTCCAGGCGGTGGTGGGCACATGATTTGCATATACAAAAAAAGAAGGCATTTTTTGGTTAATTGGGTTTTTGGGCGATGCGCAAGAAAGGACGGGAAGGATTGCGGGCTCTGGGAGCCGCTGATAGACAAATCTCCACTCGGCATAGGCCAAGGCCAAGGCCACAACGGTAGTAGCAGAATATTGGGTGTTCTATTGGGCTTGTTTGGATGGTATATAAAGGGTACAAGGGAATTGTGCCTTTATTACTACTCTGCTGGACTGGATTTTCTGCTACCGTGTATAATCATATCAAAGAAGCAGGACTGGGCATATAAAGGAGGAAGCGCCAAGGCAGCGAAATAAAGCAATACCTATTGCAATGCAACAATTATGTATCGGTGAAAAGGTGACAGCTGCGTAAGCGCATCATGATATTCCGTAGATTCATGATGAGGTTGCTATTGAATTCACGACAGTGCGAATACGAATACGGAATGGTGTTGGCACTTTTGTCCTGCCAGGCATTCTCATTCTCACCCCCCGCTCCATTTTACAACCTCCAAAACTCAAGTCTTCTGTCGACCGACCTCAGCGTCGACTTCAACGACACAAGCAGGTCAATATCATCTTCTTACATCTTCAATTATCCGATATCTAATATTCTTTGCCGCTCAATTGGGCGCTTTTCTTCCTGCCAGCCTCGTTTCCGCCTGCACACCCACCGTTACATCGCCAGAGCCTTGTCAGCCAACTAACATTTGATACCTGCATATATTGCGCCGCCAATTCAGCTCGCTCACCCTATATACGCCTCCAATTACTTACATTTCATCTACTTCATCTCATTCTCCATCCATTCACCAAAACAAATACGCAGAAATGCCCACCGCAAACGCCTCCGTCGCCGTCTCCGCGCCAGGCAAAGTGCTCCTGGCCGGCGGCTACCTGGTGCTGGACCGCTCCTACACGGGCCTGGTGCTGGGCCTGAGCGCGCGCATCAATGTCATCGCCGGCGAGATCCTCACGACCGAGGGCGTTCAGCTCAACGAGATTGTCGTCGATAGCCCGCAGTTCCAGGACGCGCAGTGGCGCTACGGCTACCACCTTGCACCGGAAAAGGGGGGCATCAAGGTGACCCAGCTGCAGGTGTGAGTACTCATGTTATTATGTTTGCCGCTCATGCTATTGTTGTTGTTGTTATTGTTGTTTTTTCTATTGCTATTTTGATTCGCCGTTATGGGATTTGCTCTGTTTGAGAGACTCGGGAAAAGAGAGAGAACCCTTTTGTCTCTGTTCCTTGTTTCTGTTTCTCGGGAATGAAAACGTTGCTCCCGGAAGCGGAACACCAGGGAGAACAAGACACGACAAGACGTCCCGATTCCCTCGAGCAATGAGACAAGGTCTCTCAATTCAATTAAAAGCAAAGTTCCCTCTGTCTGCTTCTGCCTGTTCCAAGGCACGCAAAATCTCTGCTTCTTCCTTGTTCGAAAACGGCCTTGTTTTCAACTCTTTACTGACATTTGCCGTGTCTTGGTTCCTCATCTCAGCGGCCCCACCATCTCAGCCAACCCCTTCGTTGAGACGACGCTGAGCTACGCCCTCACCTACATCGATGCCGTTGTCTCGTCCAAGCACACTCACAGCGCCATCAAGTCTTCACGCCTCATCATCCTTGCTGACAACGACTACTACTCCCACTCTCACGCCTCCTCGTCTGGCCGGTTCGCCAAGTTCCCCGTCACCCTTCAGGGGGCCAACAAGACTGGCCTCGGCTCCTCCGCAGCTCTCGTCACCTCCCTCACTGCCTCCTTGCTCACTCACTACCTGCCGGCCAGCGTCTTCGACCTCTCCTCCAAGCAGGGCAAGCAGACGCTTCACAACCTCGCCCAGGCCGCGCACTGTGCCGCCCAGGGCAAGGTCGGCTCGGGCTTCGATGTCGCCGCCGCCGTGTATGGGTCCTGCACCTACCGCAGGTTTTCACCCGCCGTCTTGAGTGTGCTGCCCGAGCCCGGCGCCCCTGGATTCAGCGACAAGCTCCTCGCAGTCGTAGACGGCGACAAGTGGGACGTCGAAGTGCAAGACGATGGTGTCACCGTGCCACCAGGGCTGGTCCTACGCATGTGCGACGTCGACTGCGGTAGCCAAACCGTCAGCATGGTGAAGAAGGTCCTCTCGTGGCGCGGCCAAGACGAGCAGCACTCAACGGGCCTCTGGAACGACCTCCAGTCCAAGAACGAGGACCTGGCCGCCACGCTCAAGGCCGGCGCCCTCGACCAGCTCCCCACCAAGCTCAGCCAGGTCCGCGAGCTGATCCGCCAGATGGGCCGTGAGAGCGGCGTTCCCATCGAGCCCGACACGCAAACCGAGCTACTCGACGCCGTCAGCGCCCTCGATGGCGTCTACGGCGGCGTCGTGCCTGGTGCTGGCGGCTACGATGCCCTCGCCCTGCTGATGCGAGACGACGACCAGACGCTGGCCCAAGTGCAGGATTTCCTGGCCACCTGGAGTCGCGAAAAAGGCTCAAAGGTGAAGCTTTTGGGGGTAAAGGGGGAGATGGAGGGGGTTCGCCAGGAGAGCTTGGACGTGTACGACGGGTGGCTATAGCTTGCCTCAGCCCTGGACATTGTCAACCCATTCCGCTCTTTGACAGGCGAGGCCTCCTGGAAAGCTGTAGATCACTTCACAACAAAAGAAAGAGGAGGGATATAAAAGGTTCTTTTTTTTCATTAATTTTCAACGAGCTCATATGGAAGAAAGAGAAGAAGAAGAAAAGACGCAAATATTGGAAACCAAATCGATCAACAGAATCTGATCCCTTGGTTGCAGTAGGCAGCTGTATATGGTCCGTGTCATGTTGCACAGGCAAAATCTCATTACACCAAAATCCGTGCCACCCTGAGACAAACGAAAATAGCGAAATGAAGATGGCACAACACGGGAACTAATTAGCATAACAAAAGCAAAAAAAAAAAAAAATGCACACATCACTGTATTAAACTATTAATCTCTGTTCCTGCGTAACTTTTGCATTACATTAACCAAGTGAGCCTTTTTTCCGCATTAATCCCCCCTTTCTGCCTCTCAATCGCGTTCATCATTACCAAGTGGTTCCCATTTTCGTTTGTTTCTTTTTCCTCGTCTAGACCAAACGAAATCGTCATTGTAATATCTATCCTGCCCGTCGCTCGCTAACCATTTCCCGCCCTGTCTATCCTGTATAATAGCCCATAATTAAGTACCTGTCCAATCCCAACCCGATCCAATCTAGCCAATCTGTTTTTGTCCCTTGTTTTACCATGCCCATGAGAAAGAAAAGGAAAAAAAGATGAAAAATTAGAAGTAAGGAAATAAGGGGAGAGATGCATCACTACCCAAGCAGTAACAATAAAAAAGTAGTGATAATAGTATCCGTAATGTCCTTAATCATGGATATGATGATATTGTGGTGTTCGTTCATGAGATTTGCATCCAGTCATTGAATTAGTTGGGCTGCTGCTGAGTGGCAGAGACAACGGAAAACGGCGAAGGGCTTCGGTGAGGAGAGCGAGAACGGATTGACCGAGGCAGGCTAGCTGTTGGATCGGGGAACATGGAGTCTTCAGCAACACCGATGCGACTAGCGGCAGCCTTTTCTCGAAGGATACAGAGCCTGTGTCAAACACGTATTAGTACAAGAGTTCGGATTCAAAAAGACAGTGATCAATGGCGTGATTGTGTCTCAGGGTGCCTTACTCTTCTTGTGAGATGCCGGGGAGCAGAACAGGCTCCTTTTTTAGACCAAACGGCCCAGACTAGAAACCCAGTGTCAGTCAAAGAAGAACTCGTTTAGATAGTGAAACATGGCAAAAATGGACATACAATTTCCAGCCCACGCTTCTGCTTCCGCCTGCCATGACGCAGAGCCGCCTGCATGCGCTCATAGAGAGTCCTGACATTGTTCTTGAGGCGCATCTCGGAAGTGGCGTAAGTCGTGTTGGAACACCCGCCAATGCTCTCCGTTTCCAGGTTGATTAAAGAAACACTTCTCGGCAAGTTCGCCATCGGTTGAGGCGAAGGCAAGTAGTTGACTGGATGAAATTGGGAAACGAAGTGAAAAATGAGGAAATGGCAAGAAATCGAAAAGCAAGATGAAACAGAGAGTGAATGTTGTTGAGATGAAGAAAGAGAAAGAAGAGATGAAACCCAAAATGATGGTTGACGTCGACAATGGCTGTTTGTGGCACTGCGCTGACAAAAAAAATAATCAAGGTAAAGATGAAAGAAGTATTGTCTGCGCTGTTCCTTTTTTTTCTCCTCTCTTTTTCTTCTAGATGCTGTTGGGTGATAATTGATGTTGGTGAAACGAATTAAGTCGGTTTGGTGAAGATACGAGCGGTTGGGCCCCGACGGTGTAGCCTTTTTAATAAAAGAGAGAATTCAAGATGAACAAACAATTAAATACGGTTATTGCTGCAAAGTGCCGAAAGCGAACTGCAAGGCAAGAAAAGTGAGAGGGGGAAAAAAAGAAAATAAAATTAAAAGAGTGAATGCGGACTGCCGTCGGACTGACAAGGGGGGGTAAAGAGTGTGTGGGCTGGTGAAGCTCCTGAGCTGCCTAAGATGCAGAATGAATGGAGGCGTCCGGCTTGAGATTCACAGGCTCAGCACGTTGCCGACGGATGCGGTGCTGGCCATATATATATAACACACCACATCGGCAGCTATGCGTGTCTCAGCACCGTTATTCGATAACCCTTCGGTCGGTGCCGCTTTTGGGCCTTTGTCGAACGGGGTTTCATTAAACACACGCGCCCGCGCAGAAGAGTGCGACAACACTAGGAGAGGTGCAGACAGAGGTGTCTCACATGCCGGGCTTGGAACAAGACCTGTGCATTTGCCCCAAGGCCCAATATGGAATGTGCGAGAACTGAATTGGCATTCCAGATGCTGTTACCCTCACGCAAGAACCCGTATGCCGTTACATTCGTCAGGGTAATGAGCTGTCGGTAGGCGAGAAGCACAACCACGACAACGAGGCCATCATGCCACGGGCGGAGCATGGCGGAGCAACGAACGGACGTGCACGGCCATTGTTTGCTTCCTTTTTGTACAGAACGAATGGGGTCAACGGCGGCTTGGCCGATTCGTTCGCGGCCTCCTTGCCTTGGCGACGAATTCTTGTTTCATCTCATCACGGTTGCATTGGCGAGCTGGAACAGCCGTTCGTCTTTGGATTTAGGGTTGGCGGACGGTGGAGAACGCCTTTCATGCAAAACGAAAATGTGAGATGCTGTGGTGACCCTTCACGAGAAAACGAAAGATTGAACCTGGGACCCTTGTCCGATAGTAGAGCGTCCTCGCATTATTCGTCGCAGGCGAACCAATCACAAGCTCCACGGCTCGACGCTCAAAGGAGCCCAAAGGGAGATCTTCTCGCTAATCTTTGGGGCTGGTGCGGAGGCACAGCTGGCACTAGGTTCATTGGGTGATGGTATTGAACGCTCTTCTCCTTCTTTCTTTATGTATGTAACTCTTCTACTCCGTAAATTGATCAGTACCACAAGGCGTCGTTTGACGCTTATTTCGGATAGTCCTTGATGTGAAAGCTCTTGGACTTGACAAATGCGTCAAAGCCAAATTTGCCAAGCGTCTGTCCTCTACCTGAGTTCTTCCATCCGGTCCACGCAAGGTCCTGTGTTGTTGGTCGTACAGTTAGCACACTGGGGTCGTTCATCAAAAGCATTTTGTTTTCTTGATTGCTTGATTGCTAGGGTTGTGACCCGGTCGGGTGCAATATGACCACGGGCCAACAAGGGAGCAAGGGGGGATGGTCTTGTTAGGGTGCACGCGCCGTGAACTTACCGGACTGGGGAAATCGCAGCGGTTGACAAAGACAGTACCAGCATCAACCTGCTCTGAAAGCGCGTAGCCTCGATCCACATCCTTGGTCCAGATGCTAGCCGTGAGCCCAAACTCGCTATCGTTCATCAGCTTCACGGCCTCGTCGTCACCCTTTACCTTCATGACCGGAATCACAGGCCCAAATGTCTCTTCCGTCATGACAGTCATCGTGTGATCCACATCCGTCAACAGGGTTGGTTTCACAAAGTTGCCCTTGGGCGGGGGGTTTTGGAAGCTTTCGTTTTCCGGCGTAGCATCCTTGGCTCCCTTTTCCAAGGCGTCCTGAATGTGCGACTCGATTGTTTCCTTGGAACGCTTAGAGATGACGGGTCCTACATGAGTCGACTTGTCAAACGGATCTCCAAGCTTGTATCCCTTGAGCACCTTTTGAACGGCCGCGACAAAGGCATCGTGCACGTTTTCATGCACGTAGATTCGTTCAAGGGAGCAGCAGCTTTGGCCAGAGTTGAAGATGGCGCCGTCCACAATCTCCTCCGCAGCCCAGTCGATATCTACATCATCTCTGATGTAGGCGGGGTCCTTGCCACCCAATTCGAGGCTCACGTTGACAATCCTGTCGGCCGCAGCCTTTTGCACGGCAAGGCCGCCGGCGACGGACCCCGTGAAACACACCAGGGCAATCTTGGGATCTCGCACAATAGTTTCCATGACACTAGGGGAGCCGCAGTGGAAATATTGCAAGACTCCATCGGGCAAGCCGGCCTCGGAAAATAGCCTGGCCACTTGTTCCACAATAGTTGGCGTTTGCGGTGATGGCTTCAATATCACGCTGTTTCCAGCCAGGATTGCGGGAATCAACGCATTGATGAGAATCAAATAAGGATACTTGAGACACGGATACGTTAATTTAAAAAGAGAAAAAAATCACGCGAGTAATAGTGGCTGGTGCGGGAGACGGGATTACTTACATTCCAGGCAAAGATGATGAGAACAGGGCCAACGGGTGCTCTTCGGATGAAACGCTTGAACCCTTTCTCGGGCTCACCCTCGATATCCTGCAAGACTGTAGAGCTGATTTTGAGGAGATGTTCCGCCCTCTTGATGGCGGTGGTGACTTCTTTTGCCGTATAAGCGATGGGTCGGCCCATCTGGGTGGTCAGTTCCAGGGCGAGGTCATCCTGGCGTTTATCCAATGCGTCGAGGAATTTCCGGACAATGTCTTGCCTTTCCTTGAGGGTCGTCTTGCGGAATTTCAGAAAAGCTTCAGTGGCGACCTTGGGGAGCAGTTCCAGATCGGCAGGGGAGGCGCCATTGCGAGTGATGACCACCTCGTTGGTATTTGGAGAGATGGTGTTGATCACCTCGACAGACATGGTGGACTTGGTGAGAGTGTACTTGTTGGGGAGGCGAAGATGATTTTATCTGATGAAGAAGCTGTACAATGGAAACACTCGTGAAAGTATGAAAGATTTGAAGCCGGTATGGAGATGATAGGGAGAGGGGAAGTGGTGATACTGGTCCACTGGTCTGAAGAACCGCTGTTGCCCGTTCGTCATTAATTTGCCCCACGTCACCGATATCGTTGCCCCGCCATACATCAAACAGTATGAGTGCCCCCATACTACTTAGTAGGTAAGGATGGTAGCCTTGCCTTAGTAGTACCTACCCAGGTACCAAGGCATTACTTTGGGTGGCTAATTGTACGTAAGAATTCCGTTGAGGGACCGGAGTCAGGACAACAGATTAGCAGGCAATTAGTTGGGTAGGTACTAGGTTTTCTTTCCACGTGAGAGGGAACTATCTCTAAGCCATTAATCGGATATAGTAGTCTAGGTTAACAGGAATTGGAGCCTAGATACCTAGGTACATTAATGAGAGTACCGCTGGATTCGCTAATACGCTGTGCCCCGGTACTGCAATACGACAATCTCTTATCGCGATAAGAGATTGGAACTTTTTTTTTTGTTGCGACAACATCTGAGCTCCGAGCCAAGTTGCGTATACGAGACGACATAGTGCTCTGCAAATCACACATCATGGCTGCAACAAGGGCCAACGAGTTTCTGGATGCATCCGACAGCGAAGACGAACGCTTGAATGGATACGAGTCGGATGATGAAGTAAAGAAAGGCGGCCGCGGTCCCAAACGACGAAAGATTAGCAGCGACGACGAGGAAGACGACGATGCTGAAGCTAGCGACAAGGAGCAAGATGCCAGTGACAGAGATGAGGGGGAGCTAGAATCGGCCAAACAAGATGAAGAAGACGACGAGATTGGCGCCGATAGCGGCAAGAAGAAGGCCAAAAAGCTAAAGACCAAAGATTTGCCTGGTGTCGCCCGACCCTTGACAAAGAAGAACCTAGTCGCGACAGAGGAAGCCATCAAAAAATCTGGCGTGGTCTACATTTCACGGGTGCCGCCATTCATGAAGCCTAATAAACTACGTTCCCTCCTTGCTCCATACGGAGAAATCAACAGGATATTCCTCGCCCCCGAAGATCCAGTCGCACGAGCACGGCGCGTCAAAGGAGGCGGCAACAAGAAAAAGACTTTTACCGAGGGCTGGGTCGAGTTTATCAAGAAGAAGGATGCAAAGGCTGTGTGCGAGCTTCTAAACGCACGGCCAATCGGTGGAAAGAAAGGAAGCTACTACCACGACGATATATGGAACCTGTTGTATCTCAATGGTTTCAAGTGGCACAACCTGACGGAGCAGATTGCCGCCGAGGATGCTGAGAGGTCGAGCCGCATGAGGGCGGAAATCAGCAAGACGACGCGGGAGAACAAGCTGTTTGTCCGCAATGTGGAGAGAGCAAAGATGCTGGACGGCATGGAGGCAAAGGCAAAGGCGAAGAAGAGGAAGGCGAGCGACGCAGCGGACAATGAGGAACCAAGGGAGAGCGTGCGGACGTTTAAGCAGATTTCCAAGATCAACAAGGGCGGAGATACCAGCGAGCAACCAGAGCGAGTGAGCAGAGTGTTGAGCAAGATTTTTTAGTAGACCTTTATTTGTTTATTTGTTTTGTATAATTACTTGTTATTACATGTGTCTGCCTAAATAGAAGGCATTGATACGGAATCTGAACAATTATCATACGCCCTCATGTCCGTCATCTCGTTACCGGTTTAGTGCATGTCTACGCGACTGACTCAATGTCGCACATATTTTCACGCCGCTACTACGGATAAGGCAATAAATTCTGCGACGGCAAATCTAGCGATAAGCCCATGGAAGACCGCTTATCAAGCAGCGGGGCAAAATATTTTTCGATTCTTCGTAGATGTAGTATCAGAGGGACCCCATCCGATAAAATCATCTACCATAACACACATCACATCACCATCGGCTACATCAAGCAAAATGTCTATGGATCTTGATGACGCCATTTCTATTGCGCCTATATCGCAGCAGGCGACGGCAGCAACGTAAGTGACTTTCTCCCAGCTTCCCGGCTTTTTTTCTCCATTTTTCTTCTTTGCGGCTGCCCCTCCACAAACATCCATCAACGACTGCAGAGACTGACAATATCCAACACAGAATCCTCTGTCACAACTGCGGTGCCCCGATCGACGGAACAACAGCCACGGGCGCTGCCTGCTACGACTGCATCAAGTTGACCAACGACATTTCCCAGGGAATCCAGCGAGAGGCCACCATCCAGCAATGCAGAGACTGCGAGAGATGGCTCCTGCCACCCTCAAGTTGGATCGCCGCCATGCCTGAATCCCGCGAACTCCTAGCTCTCTGCCTCAAGAAGCTGAGGGGCCTGAATAAAGTGCGAATCGTCGATGCCAGCTTCATCTGGACCGAGCCTCATTCCCGAAGAGTAAAGGTCAAGTTGACCGTCCAAGATTCCGTCCAGCAGGGAGTACTGCTGCAGCAGAGCTTCGAGGTCGTATATGTTGTGGCGACCCAGCAGTGCCCCGAGTGCCAGAAGAGTTTCACCCCCAACCACTGGAGAGCCTGCGTCCAGGTCCGACAGAAGGTCTTGCACAAGAGGACGTTCCACTTCCTGGAGCAGCTCATTTTGAAGCATGGTGCGCACAAAGAGACCCTCAACATCAAGGAGGCCAAGGATGGCATCGATTTCTTCTTTTCCGTGCGAAACCAGGCGGAGAAGTTTGTCGACTTCCTCAACTCAGTCGTTCCCGTCAAAGTCAAGTCTTCACAAGAGCTGATCTCCATGGATACCCACACGTCAAAAAAATCATACAAATTCACATTTTCCGCCGAAATTGTCCCCGTATGCAGAGATGACCTGGTCGCGCTGCCAATAAAGCTTGCGAAACAGAGTAGCAACATCTCACCCCTCGTCCTTTGCCACAAGATTGGTACGGCGGTCTACCTCATGGACCCTCAAACCCTTCAAACAGCGGAAGTAAATGCATCCATTTACTGGCGCGCCCCGTTCACAGCCCTCGCCGACGCCATGGAGTTGGTCGAGTTCATCGTCATGGATATTGAGCCTACCCCTACTCGCAAGGGTAAGTGGGTGCTTGCCGAGGCAACGGTTGCTCGTGCTTCCGATCTGGGTGTCAATGATAGGACATACTTTACCAGAACACATCTTGGAAACCTGTTACAGCCAGGCGACTCAGCTATGGGCTACATGTTGAGCGGAACCAACTTCAACAATCCCGAATTTGATGCGATAGAGGAGTCCAACACATATTCATCAATCGTCCCCGATGTCGTGTTGGTGAAGAAACACTACCCCAACCGCAGGAGAAACCGTCGTCGCAACTGGAAGCTCAAGCGCATGGACAAGGATGAGGGCGAGCTTCTGCCAAAGAAGGCAGACCAAGAGCGTATGGATAAGGAGTACGAGATGTTCTTGCGTGATGTCGAGGAAGATGAAGAGCTGCGTGCGGCCTTGGCGCTGTATAAGAATCCCAAGAAGGTAAACGATGATGAGATGAGCATAGCGGAGACGGACGAGGATGGAGACGATGGCGCGCCGGGAGTGAATATGGACGAGCTGCTAGATGACTTTGATGAGCTCACAGTGCAAGATGACTAGAGCAGTGTAGGGGCTTAGGAAACTTACTACAATGAGATTAACGACGTCACGTTTGGCTCTCAACAGAAACTGCGCTGCGCATGTGCCAAGGCATCAGTATAATTTCGCTGTGATTTCGTATTTTCTGTGGGTAAACCATTTAACCGGTGCCTGTGACTAGATGTCTATAAGAACGAAGGGATAGAGCTCAAATCAATCGTTTTTGATTCGTCTTTGACTTCATTCTTTGGGCCTGGTCGTTTGAACTGCTCTCGGGATTTCTTCCTGCTCATCCTACGCTCGTGCAAGCCAAAAGGATCATCGTCCAAATCGTCATCCACATTGTAGACACTGGGTTGCTGACTGTCGGATTTGGTTCGGGGCGGGTCTTCACGAGGAGCTCCTTTGGGAACTTCTGTGGCGCGGGAAGATATATCTTGAGGATTTGGATTAGAGGTACGAGGATGCTGAGAGGTGTTTTTACTCTGTGTAGTAGTAGTTGACCTTGGATTAGCGGGCAAGTCAAGCTTGATCTTCTTAGATGATGGCGCCAATGGTGGCAATGACGGTGGTGGCTCGCGGCTTCGATGGTCTTGCTGCGGCGACGACTTGCTTGAATACCCGGCGGCCGCTCTCGTCCTAGATGAAGAAGATGAAGTACTCGCCGCAGGCATAATGGTCCTTCCCTCCCGTCTCGGCGCCTCCATCAATCCTCGCAGACCCGTTGCCGCCCACGGCGACCTCTGTTCATCCCCTTTTGCTTTGCGGCCATCACCCTCGCCAGCATCATCGACGCCCTCAGCCTCCAGCGTTTTGCGCCGCTTCATAGCATTCTGAGCTGCTTCACTCCTCTGCCGTGCCCTGGCTGTCGGCACCGCACTTGCCACGACGGGACGCTCAATCTCGCTGATGGTAGCCGCGTTTTGGGCCTTGGCGAGGGCTTTGAGGCGATCGTATTCCGCTCGGTGAAGGTGCGCGGTGAAGCGCTGGGCCATGTGCAGAAACTCATCATCGACCATTCTGAATCTGTCGTCGTTCAGCAGTCCTGGAATCATGAACCTGATATGAAGGGAAGTTCCATGTTAGTCGAGTATAGACAAGAAATGTGTGCATGTTGAACTGATGTTTGAACTAGGCAATCATCAAGATCATGAGGACGGTGCAGATGTACTCTTCATGAGGCCGCTCTGGTGGAGGCGAAGTAGATGGACTTCGAATAGGGTCTGGAATAATTACTGTCAGTTGACTCAACCACCATTTCCAATAACTATCTTTTTATTTGGGTGAGATGGGATGAGATTCATCTCTCTCTTCGTACCGGAATCCAAAACGCGCCGAACGTGTCTACGTGACACGGGCGTCCGCAAAACGTCCCGATTCTCATATTGTCGCGCAGTAGGTAATTTGGGGCTTTGGGCTGCCGTATTTCTTGCGCTATTGCTTGTTGAAGATTCAGATTCTCTTTTCCAGGGCAATTTCCTTGTCATGGTTGCTGGAGGTTTGGCATGGATGTATAATTTAGGAAGTTGGAGATGGTTGATAGCTTACCTGCGTTTGGTGCCTGCAGTTAGTGTCCTATAACCAACTATACTGAGTGCAGCCTGCCAACACCCAACAGGCACCTAATAAATGGTGCTAGGCAAGATGTTCCCATTCACAAACAATCTTCCATGATAAGACGACGCAGGAAATAATTACAAATAGCATGGATGACAATAATGGAATAGACCAGATGAGATCACATCGCCTTTGCTCACAATAACAGCCCTGGAGATGAACCATTTCGCAGCTGGATGTAGTAGCGATACATACAGCCTTAACCTAGAGTCACCGTTTCTCGCTCATCTCTTGTGAACTCTCGGCACAATTTGTCTGTTTGTATGATTATATTTCACAGCATCCTGTAGCCATTTAGTCTTGGTTTCTATAATTAATATCCATATAAACACTACTATTTTATTCATGTGTAAAATGTTATGTGCCCTAATGATGTTCGGTGGTATGCTTAGGTTGAACTCTCATAAGCTCATGTCGACTAGCGAGATGTTGTATGTTGCATATGGTTATTAAAAGGCAACATTATGCTCTAATGAAAAGCAATAAAAGCAAAGAATCTTCATTCCTATATACCTCCAGTGAATTTCCAGCAGTAAGCTGAAAGGACTGCTTTTCTTACGCTCCAACGGAACAGCTTGACAAAACTCGATAGATGCATACCTTGGGATACGTTCATGCAGGCACGCGCAGCCCCTCCAAGCCCCGCCGAGATGAATGAATCGATTGATAGCAGCTTCTCGCTAGAATGGAGATACCTAGAATTTCAGGCCGAGCTTCGAGAATTCTCAAAGTTAAAATTGCCATTCAAACGGCTTGCACGTTCATCAAGACTCGCTCAATATTGAGTGCTGTGAGGGTGCAGTCCTGATGTTTGTGGTGCAATTGCCACTGCTGCCATTTCTTGCAGTGCCATATTCCGATATTGAATCGCCATGATTGCCGTGTTGCTGTGTCGACAAGCTTCAGTGAGGCAATGCGGTGGCCTCGCCAGATCAGGCTGTAGGGCCGCGACGGATTTGTCTCGTTTCAAGAGACGCTTCTACCGGAGCAGCAATGGCACAAGAAGCATAAGCTCAATGCTTGAAAATACTCGAAATATCGGCATCATCGCCCACGTTGACGCTGTAAGGCTTACGGCTTTGTGTACTCAAGCTATCCTGGTCTCGACGCTTACCCACCGTGTAGGGCAAAACAACGACGACTGAGCGCATGCTCTACTATAGTGGCGTGACCCAGCGAGTGGGAGGTGAGCAACAAACGTGCCCAGGGCTGAAATAACCCAGCTGACAATCTTAGATGTGGATTCCGGCAACACTGTGACCGATTTCCTTGAGCTTGAGCGGGAGCGTGGAATCACCATCCAATCAGCGGCAATAACGTTTCACTGGCCACTACAACAGGATTGCCCTCCTGGAACAGTCCCAAAGACGATCAATCTCATTGATACTCCTGGCCACCAGGATTTCAGGTTTGAAGTCGATCGATGTTTGCCAATCCTTGATGGAGCCGTCTGTATCATCGATTCTGTCAAGGGTGTAGAAGCGCATACAGAACGAGTCTGGGCCTCTGCCCAGGAGTTCAAGGTTCCGCGAATTGTGTACTGCAACAAGCTGGACCGTGAGGGCGCATCATTCAGAAAATCCGTCTTGGAAATTGGTTCTCGACTCAAAGGATGGCCATTAGTCTGCCAAATTCCGTGGTGGGAGAAGGAGGACTTTGTTGGAGTAATCGATATCATCGATGGGGTAGGGTACAGGTGGAAGACCGAAAGGCAAAAGATGCGATATGAGCCCGCCGAGCTCGAAGGGATACTCTCGACTTCAAACCAATCGTTATTGGCCGAGATAAAGGTAGCGCGGCAGCGTCTGGTCGAGGGCCTTGCGGATTTTGACGAGGCCGTCATGGACGAATTCTTGGCTGAAAACGAAGATATCCCCGCTTCCTTACTGAAGCAGGCCATAAGGAGAAGCATTAAAAGCGGTGATGGCCGTGTCATACCTGTATTCGCTGGCTCCAGCTTTCGTCATATTGGAGTTGAGCCGCTCATGGACGCCATCGCGGACTATCTTCCTAACCCAGCGCAACGTCCAGACGCCGAAGTCAGGATTGGAAGCACGAAAAGCGAGCTTCGCGAAGCACTGAAAGGAAAAGGCAAGAACACGGCGGATGCCAATGTTGGCTCAGTGGCATCTGTCTTTAAAGTGTTTGACCACCCAAAGGAGGGCGTCATCAGCTTTGTGAGAGTCTATCATGGAACTCTTACTCGCAACGCTCCAAGCTTCAACACCCACATGCTTATCCAAGAACGACCGATGGGCATCTTGCAAATATCTGCGTCCAAGACCGAAGATATTCAAGAGCTTTCTGTTGGTCAAATCGGAGCCCTGAGAGGACTTAAGAAAGCTCGCACTGGAGATACGTTGATCACCATGGCGAGCGGCAAAACTGTCCCCGAGCATTTACGACACATCCAGATCAGACCTCCCGAGATTCCTCCACCGGTTGCCTTTTTACAAGTTGATCCATATGGGAATGTGGCGGCACAACAATTAGAGGTCGCTCTGGAGAGCGCGTCTCGAGAAGACCCAAGCCTTCGGTGGAGTAGAAATCCAAAAACTGATCAATTCACCATCCAGGGTATGGGCAAGCTACACCTGGATGTGTCACTCTACAATATGAGGCAGAAGCATAAAATAGATGCCGAGTTTGGTCCTATCGAGGTCGACTACAAGGAATGTGTCACCACCATGACCTCTCCTCAGCAGACAGTGTTTGACCGTCCAGTTGCGGGCAGACCAGGCAAGGTTACCTGCACAGCTACTCTCAGACCGATAGAAGCTGGGGAACAGGAAAATCTGCTGGAAGCCGGCCTTGAAAAAGACGGCAACATTGTCCAGATAGATATTCCCATGGAGGGCGAGGCCACCGCCGTGCTTGTTGATGTGGATGAGGCACGCCAACAGCTCTTCAACGGAGCCATAGCTGGGTTGGCCAGGGGGCCTCGGCGCGCGTCGCCGATACACGGCTGCCAAGTCCACATCACTCTTGATACGTCTCGCGATGCGCTAGAGACACCAACTGGAGGGCATTTCAGTAGTGCGGCCAAAGCTGCCGTTCAAGCAGCTCTTAGGGATGCGTTCGATAAAAGCCAGATTGGCATTTCAGAACCCATCATGTTGACGCACATTACCTGCCCGGAGGCCGCCGCTGGAACAGTCCAGCATGACATAACAGCCGGTGCGGGTGGTCATGTCCTCGAAGTCAACGATCGTTCTGCAGAGTCTGCTAGCGAGGAGTTGATCGATGTCTCTAAAATTTACGCGCCGCCGGATCCCTATGACTCAATCACTTCGCTGAGAGGCAAGAAATCCGCTGCTCGGATGGTTGAGATAATAGCAAAGGTCCCCTACAAGGAGATGCTCAACTATGACGAGCACCTACGAAGCAAGACCGCGGGCCGGCATTCTATGACCATGTCGTTTGATTCCTTTGCAAGAGTGGTTGGCCATCGAGAAAAGGATCTCTGAAAGGCCTTTGAAGCAAGCACGCCATTGTGACCAACGCGAACGCAATCAAACTGCTGTATACCGATGTAACTTAAAAAGCAAGCCTGGGATTTACAAATGTTCTTCCCATGAAAAGGCGTCATATAACACTTTTCATGATAACCATACAGCGCTATGCAAAGCAGTCTGAGGAAACCAATTCCCTTGGCTTGATGATTTGAGCATATCTGGTTCAAAAGATCCATTTTACTGGAGTTTAATGGATCACCTCAATGCCAAGGATGCAAGCGATTTGATTAGACGGCAGCACAAGAGACGAGCAGATGAAACCTCGCATGATGCCATTTTTTATTGGGGACCGGGATAACTACTCCGTACTGCGAGTATAAAGATACCTAGAAGAAATCACATCTCATCACTGTTCCTTACCTTGGCACAGCCATCGGCGGTAGCTGCTGGCGGAGCTGATGATATCGCGGCGATGAGCGAGATTTGGAGATTTCACAGAGCACAGGGCACGGAGATGGGGATGAAGATGGAGATGGAGATGGAGCACGGAGTAAGACGGCATTCTCTTCCAGAACCCGCCAGACTCTCACTGGATTACGGACAAGCACTCCCCTCGCTCAACATGCACTCCTTGCAAAGCACAGACGGGCCTCGCCAGGGTTGGAGCCAGGCAACACTCTGCTGCTCAAGAACTGGATTGAGCCTAGCTTTTTTCATGCTTGGCTGTCTCTGGACAAGAACGGAGAACTTGTGTCCAGCTTGTACAGTAATGACAGCTCGTGGGCGTTCATGCTCGTGTTGAGTGGAGCACGTCGTTTACACAAAATTTCTCTCCCTTGCAACCCCGTGCGGAAAAAAGGAGTGCCCCATGTCCAAACCCCAGCTAGCTTGGCTTCTAGGGAGAGCCAGCTCGACCGCCACATCCTCTCTACCAGCAGGGGAAAAGAAAAAGATGTTTAGAAGCAAGACTTGTTTCAGCAGATTTTGGTTTTGAACCGTCTCAAGATTGAAATTGGCGAACGCCACCAGCAAGCGACGGTTTGTTTTCTGAGTCGTGTTAGCAGCAAGGAGACGGTTGGGGAATCTCCCCTCGGGTCTAATTCTTTCTAATTAGTATTCGTGGGGTGACACCGTCAGCCTCAGCTGTCTTACAGGCAATAATAACGGTGAAAGTCGGTCGGTTGGGGGGCGAGATCAGCAAAGACGCAGCGATTCGGAGCGTGCCGCCAAATCTCGCCTTTGGTGTCGTCGATCAATTTCTTCTCCTCGCCTGTCAGTTGTGATTTTACTGCGGCGACGTTGCTTGTGCGATATGTCCGACTACAGGTAGAGAATGGCTGCGGTGGCCCCGACAAACGGCAGACATCCAATCATGTTGATACTGGTACGCTCAACTCGGGGCATCATCAGGGGCACTGGCTATGTTCCCTTCTCTGAGAAGACGGCGCCAACAAACACGCCGAGGTCAGCTAGGGGTTCAATGCCGTTGTTGCTACTGCGACTATGACTACAGACTACGACTACAGACTGCTGCTACTAGGTACTTCCAGGACTTGCTCCGCACCATCAACGGTTAGCACCGAGAGCAGCACTTTTGTTGTTCTGGCTTGTTGAACCGACTCGTCTGCGCTCCAACACCGCAACACAGACAGACAGACAGACTGACTGACTGGACACTGCCTCGACAGGCCCTCGAGGCGGATTACTTGTATGATTATGGCATTCGTTCCCGTTGCAGTTAATGCAGCGTTCGATACGTATCTCACACTAGGAGGGCCTTAATTTCCTTTGGCCCTGGCCAAGTGGCTGGATTGGTCGACGGTTTCCCAGGGGAGAAGCAAGCCGCCCCCTGATTGGCTCACGGCTTGTTTAATTTCGACGCGCTCATCCCACGGATCCACAGAGCGAGGCCCGGCATCACAGCCCATCTTCAGCAAAGCGGTCGAGGCATTATTAGCCATGAAGCCTGTGCCTGGCGTACAGTAGCATGTAATGTATCGTAGCAGTCTGTGTCTTTTTTCGAACTAACTACAGTCAATCCCTTCCTTTACTAGCCCATTGTCGCCCTGCTCGTCCGCGGGCCCATCTCACTCTCTTTTCATAGAACTTCTCGACCGTCACCGCCGTCTCTCTCTTTTATTCGTTTTTGCGCCGTGTCGTTTCGTGTCGTGTCGTGTTTTGTGTGGACGAGCTCTTCTTTTTGCCCGTTCGCCTCTGTCGCTCTTTGCCTGCTTGTTTTGTGACACGACTCTCACTTGTTCTCGTTTGTTCGAAACATTCGAATCGAGCGTCGCACTCGCGCTCTCACTCACTCTCTCACTCTCGCGCCAGTAATCACTAATCGATTTCACACCCTCGTTTTCACGCGACGCCATGAAGGTTACAGACGTCCAGGCCGCCCTCGCGTCGGCCGTTGTGCTCCTCTCACTGCCAGCCGGCACCGTCGCCTCGTCACACAGGAGGTTTCACCAGCTTCCCAATAAGAAGCACACCCACCTGCGCTCTCCTCACACCGTCGAGGACGCCAACTCTATTGTCAAGCGAGGACAATGCGCGTTCCCGACGGACGATCCCAACTTGGTTGCTATCACGCCTGATGCTGAGAATGCTGGCTGGGCTATGAGCCCGGATCAGCCTTGCAAGCCGGGTCACTACTGCCCAATTGCTTGCAAGCCCGGCATGGTTATGGCTCAATGGGATCCCGATTCTTCATACTCGTACCCGTTATCCATGGTAAGTTCTTAGAACTACAATAAGAGACAATGACCTACATCGCCGGTTTCAGCCGCTGACAGCATTAGAACGGAGGATTGTACTGTGACGACGATGGCACGATTCAAAAGCCTTTCCCTAACAAGCCAAACTGTGTTGAAGGTACTGGCTCTGTCGTAGCTGTCAATGAATGTGGTGAACCCATGTCGTGGTGCCAGACTGTCCTGCCTGGTAACGAGGCCATGCTTATCCCAACTCTTGTCACATCCTCGGCCACCATTGCTGTTCCCGATACAAGCTACTGGTGTTCAACGGCGGCTCAGTAAGTGATCCCGCACAACCTTGTGTTTCGCATCCCACGCCCACAGTGTTTGCTAACCTCCTCTGTGTAGCTACTACATCAACCCTCCCGGAAGCACCGTTGCCGATTGTGTTTGGGGTGTCTCATCCAAGCCCGTGGGCAACTGGAGCCCCTACGTTGCTGGCGCTAACACTGACAGCAACGGGAACACCTTTGTCAAGCTGGGATGGAACCCCATCTGGCAAGACTCTGCCCTGAAGAGCACCCTGCCCACCTTTGGTGTCAAGATCGAGTGCCCCGACAGCGACTGCAACGGACTGCCCTGTGAGATTTCGCCCAACGCCGACGGCAGCGTCGAGAGCAACGAATCCTCCGTCGGTGCCGGCAACGCCGCTTTCTGCGTCGTTACCGTCCCCAAGGGCGGCACTGCCAACATTGTGGCATTCAACGTTGATGGCAGCTCTGGCTCCTCCGGCGGTGATGACTCTGATTCCGGATCTTCTTCTTCTTCTTCTTCGGCCCAGCCCAGCTCCACTCCCCACGGACTCAAGGCCGGCGGCTTCGCCCAGCAGGCCGAGAAGGCTACTTCAACCACCACCACCGCCCAGCCGTCATCTACCGAGGTTTCCACCACCGCGTCTCCTTCTTCGACCGAGGTTACATCCACCACTGCAGCCGCTTCATCAACCACCACGGCCGCAGAGTCAACGACACAGACCACCGACGCTTCCTCCACGACCGAGGCTGCTTCTACCACTGCTACCAGCGGCAAGACTTCCTCAACCGCTTCTCAAACTCGCGCACATGCCTCTGTGAAGCCCGGCATGTTCCACGAGAACGGCACCTCGTCTCACCAGACGACCTCAGCCCCCTCCTCCGAGCCGTCCCAGACCCAGGCCGACTCTGCTCCGGTTACCACGACTACTAAGAAGGGTGAGGCTGGCCGCCAGCAAGGTAGCACCGCCTTTGCAGGCCTAATCGTTGCCTTTGTTGCCGCAGCTTGTTTCCTTTAAAAAAAGAAGAAGAATTAATGGCAAGGCAGCCTCGTTGATTGTATCTCTGGCAGACAATGTATTCTCACGTCTACTTCAGTGTCCATGTCATCTTTTGTCAGCGGCAGCTTACATATTTTTTTTTGGTTCATATGCTGCTCTAGACTTTATATCACTTTGACGCGAGTTTCTCTCACCATCTCTCTCTCTCTCTCTCTCTCTTTCGCTTCGCATATTTTGGGCCGTTTGATCCCCCCTCCCCCTCGTCGCACACTTTCCCCCCCTGATATTTTATGCCGCCGTATCTGTATATGGCTCTACTTTTATTTACATAACGCTTATTATATGCTTTACATATAAGCCAATATGCCCTGTCGGCGATAGTGTTTATTGTCTTTGGAGAAATTGGAGGTTGGTGTGTCCGCTATAAGGGAGCATGCCCAATCTCCAAATATCCTCCCCTTCCCCTTTTCTTTTCTTCAGGAGATTTCCTCCTAATTTTTTTTTACAATGCCAAAAATACGGTGGCATATTTTATCCATTATGATTTTTTATTACCATATTTTTTCTCTTTACCACATTTTTTTGTTTTTGATTTGCCTTCTTTTGTCGTCGATACCCCTCTTCAGCGGTTAAAGAGAAAGCTTTTTACGAAATCGGAGGACAGGGATCAAGAAAAAGAGGAAGGGAGGGGGAAAAGGCGAGCGATTCTTTTTTTACAATTTTTTTTTTACCTGTCAAACATTTATGATGTATGTCCAAAGGGGGGAAAGGTTTTGAAGTGGTTTTTTGTCAGTTTTGCCTTTTTTTGCTTTGTTGATTTAATGCGCGTGCCAACTACATGTATTTGGATGAGTTGGGGGTTTTATAATTACCTCACTTATCAAACATAAACAACCCCAAAAAAAGGAGCTTAGGATGAATAGGATAAAGACAGAAATAGGCGTGGCTTATGAATTTTACGTTTCTTGAATGTAGCCTGTGGTGAATTGACATGTGTAGAGGAGCAACGTAACTGAGACAACCTTGAAATGTGAGGCTTTGTGTGCTTATATTCTCAATGCGTCTGCCTTGAAAGTCTCAAACTTGAATCACAATTAGCGATATTTGACGGTTTAGGGGGGTATCATTTCGTTTTCTTCTATGGAGTAATTAGCTTCTAATAAACGAACACCATGCATGCTATGGGGTAGCGCCGGTAGTTAGCACCACCTTATCAAGGATGCGTTGCCTTCTCCCATCTAAACTTGTATTGCCCTAATATAACTAATATCATGCGTACTTGACCTTCTCTCACTCTCACACTCACAACGTCACCCAGCCGGGAACTTGGTCCAAGTCAAAGTCGTCTTCGTGCCTCCTTTCCTTAATAGTCAGCCAAACGTTTGGCCAGCCTGCTAGGACAGGGCTGCCCTTTGCCTTTGCTCCGATAATGGCAAACCGGCCCTGGCTATGCGCAACGAATCCATGCATAAAGCCCTGCTGGACAAGAGTGGCCACTGTCATCTCTATATCTTCGTACGTGACCAGTGCGTTACCCCATATGAGCCCCTCGTTGGGGCGGAGCTTCCTGGGGCCGCCCGGGGGAGGGGCAAGAGTCGTTTCGGCAGAAGACTGGACGGTGTTTTTGAGGGCTTGCATGAAGAGAGGGTTGGCCTGCGACGGCCGGCCGTGTGCGGTTGGATTGCCGGGCAGCCAGCCTTCAAGGCGGCGCTGAACGTAGGTGGCCACGGCGAGGAGATGGGAGAGGTCGAGTGTTGCTGCTTTGCGGGAGGTGGCATCCTGTGGGGGGACGTATGTCAAGAGGAATGTCTTTCGGCTGAGACTCCTCCAGAGGAGTGGTCGAAGGCGGTTGGAGAGTGGCAAAAGGAGACCCTTTTCGAACAGCCACGGTTCGTGAGCGGCAAGATGGGACTGGAACTGCACAAAGTTCCCGGAGCGAATGGCCATGCACATTGGGAGAAAGATGGGTTTCAACGATTGAGCCTCGGGCCGTGATAGGAGTGTGGTTGAAGGGAATCGCCCAAGAAGAAGGTTCGAGGGAATGAGGTAAGTGAGAATGTTGGAGCGATGAGAGACCAGTTGAGGGGGAGTTTGTAAGTATGCCTCCTGCAGACATAACGCAGCGCGGTGATAATGTTGATTGGAGAAATTAAAACGGCCGAGATAATAGAGAAAAGTGACGCGCTGAGCCGCAGGATAAAGTGAGAGCGGAGGCGATATGGTTTCGATGTTAACAAATATCATTTTCGCTAGTTGAGTTCTTCGGCACTATTAAACAGTGAATTCTGTGGTTAGAGAATGGTGTTGCCGGCTACAATATGGAGAGAGACTCGGGATAAAGGGAGGCATACTGCGAAGAGAAGCTTTAGCACGAGGTTGGCAAACATGTAGATGCCAACTCGCTTTCCCTCTGGCTTGCTGGTCCGGGTTCCTGACCGGTCGGTCAAGCAAGTCGTAAATATCTTTTGAATGATCTCAGCAGAAGATTCGGCAACAGACTTGCGGTTGTCGTCGTCCACAACGCGAAGCCGACGAGTCAGATCAGGCCGGCGGTTGAGATTCATGGTAAGGCGGGCAAGTGTCTCTGAGAGAGACATGCTGACTTGGAGGAGCATTGAGCCATAGGTAGGATGTGCGAATGCAGTAGAACAAGAGCTATCAGACTTTGTCAGCATAAAGAGACATATTCTTCAAGCTTCAAACCGCGTGTTTCTCTAGGTTGTGACTGTCAATGGCACTCAATGGCTGAAAACACTCACTTGACTAGTCCACTGAGAAGCTGATGGGCCCCCAACAAGTCTGCAAAATTGACATCTCGCCAATAGGTCAAGTAATCCTTCAAAAAAGCCAACAATCCTGGCCAAGCCGTGGCCTGACCTTCGGGCAGATCGTCCTGCTGCGGCAGGGCATCTTCAACGACCTTGTCAATGGCGTCCTGGCGGCTAAATCTGGCGCGAAGCTCGTTCGCTAGATCGTGATATTGTTTTGGCGATTCCGGCTCTACTTGAAGCCATGACCGGAGCTGATCGCCTTGCTGGTTGCGGACTTGTTGCTGAATCTGAGAGAGAAATTGGGTGACTAGAGACATGACTTGTGGTGTTGAGAAGGATATATTATATAAATATTTTGTCCTTTGGAGGCCAACAGAGGTTTGGAATTAGTGAGAGTGAGTGAGAGAAGGAGGACGGGCGAGAGTCGCGTTGAATGAGTGGGAGTGAGGCTGGTGTTGAAGACGGTGTGGCGTCGGGCTGGATGTGGCGGTACTATCATACTTAGGTACTATAGCTGTGGCGCGCGTGGCTGATGTCTTGAGCTCTTGAGCAGTGACAAGCAGCCCTTTTCCTGAATCAACTATTGCGGCTCATTGACCTAAACAAACTGTTTATATCTCTAGATAGGTACTCGCTATTATTCAATGGTGATAACCTTGGCAATTTCAAGTAAGAAATCCAGTCGAATATTGAACAAATGAATGCTTCATTACTCTAAAATTACATGGCCATTGCTAACTGAATATAGGTACATGCCCACTACATTTTCTCTTAGTTCAAAGTATATACGTGTTTGTGTTTATTTCCCTTTTGGCTTGTTTTTTCCCTTTAGTTTAGACGGATTCAATTCGCTGCACAACCATGGCTGTGGCAGCGCCTCCTCCGTTGCAGATTGCCGCAACACCATACTCGCCAGGCTTCAGCTGGTGCAGCAGCGTTGTGAGAATTCGTGATCCGGAGCTGCCTAGGGCGTGGCCGAGGGAAATGCCGCCTCCAAGAGGGTTGACACGGGCATTCTCGATGCCAAGAATCTTCTTGTTGGCCAGAACAACGCCTGCAAAGGCCTCGTTGATCTCCCAAATGGCGACCTGATCCTTGGTGATGCCGGCACGCTCCAGAGCGATGGGGATGGCCTTTGCGGGAGCGACTGGGAAGTCAATGGGGTCGACCGCAGCGTCAGCGTGGGAGACAATCCTCGCTAGGACGCGAGAGCCGGATCCGTACTGCTGTGCAATGGTCTTGTTGCCCAGGACCAGAGCACTGGCACCGTCGTTCAGGGTCGACGAGTTGGCAGCGGTAACTGTGCCAGTTCCGTCGCGAACAAATGCGGGCTTCAAGGTTGGGACCTTCTCAATCTTGACGTCGAGGTAGCCCTCGTCCGCCTCAACGATGACCTCTCCTTTCTTGTTCTTGACGGCGACGGGGGTAATCTCATCAGCAAACGCCTTCTCGGCCCAGGCCTTTTGAGCGTTCTTGTATGACTGGATGGCGAATTCATCCTGCTGCTCTCGAGAGATGTTGTGAACCTTGGCCGTGTTCTCTGCACAGTTGCCCATGTGGAATTTGTTGTAGACATCGGTCAGACCATCCTTGATCAGTCCGTCCTCAAAAGTAACATTGCCGAAAGCAGGCAGGCCGCTCGCACGTGGCAGATAGTATGGGACCCGGGTCATGCTCTCCATGCCACCGGCAATCTGGGCCTCAGCCAGGCCTAGCTGAATGTTTTGCGCCGCAAAAGCGACAGCCTTGAGGCCAGAAGAGCACACCTTGTTGATGGTGATGGCCTCGATGGACGTAGGGAGGCCGGCGAAGATGGCGGCCTGTCGGGCGGGCGCCTGGCCCATTCCTCCTCCAAGTACGTTGCCCATGTACACATCAGAGATCTTTTCTATCGGAACCTTTGACTTTTCGAGGGCGGCTTTGATGGCGGTAGCGCCGAGCTGGGGAGCGGGCACGGTGGTGAATGAGCCGTTGAACTGGATAAGCGCAATTGTTAGCATGATTCTAAACCAGTATATGCGAGCCTCTCAGCAACGTACCTTTGCGGTTGGTGTTCGCGCAGCACTGAGAATGTACGCCTCCTGAATTTCCTTTCTCATGACAGCGCCGGTTGAGAAGTGGCGAGCCGATTTCATTTGGCTGGCCAGCTGACCGAGCCGCCTGGCTGTTCTAAGCTGAGCCTCGGGCATTGTGGACGGAGCTGCGAAGTTGCACAAGTAAGAGGAGAAGAAGCGAAGAAAGAGAAGAACTATATGTAGTGAGGGTATCAAAAGAAAAAAAAAAAGGCCAATCAAAAGGTGTTTGGAAGATGAGTAGAAGCAGTCGGGCTATATCTGTTTTTTTGTTTTTTATACGGCTTGTCGGTAGAAGAGGCGCAGAGAGAGGAGCTTCTGGGCCGTTTCGGTACGCTTCGGCTTAGAGCGGGGAGAGAATCAGCCGAGCGTTTAAGCTGGGATTGCAGGTGACAGCGTCAGAATCGATACTTGATGCGGGGGGTGAAAAAAGCCGGGGAAGGGGGTTTTGTATTATTCCGAGGCAGTGTGAGTGCTACAGCATTACTCCCGAGTCACTACTATATTACTCGGGTCTACGTCCAACATGATTCAGCAGATGGCTCAATGTTTTCTAATCATCTCTTGAGCCTCCTCCGTCTTTTACACTCCCGCTTCTTCTTAAGCCGCACTCACGTCATCAACCCGAGGCTACATACGTTATCAATCCGGCAACCTTTGGACGAATAATATCGCCGTAACCAGCCTTGCCAGCCTGCCAGACCAGTCCAGGCTGTGGCGTCGCTCCACCATCGCCACATTGCCTTCATCCACGTCTTTCGCGACGCTGATGCGCTGTCACATGACCATGACTAATCTTTTATTTCTCACCCCGCTATTGGCTCGTACCCTGACGCCGATTCGCCTGAACCGGCGGGCTGTCAAGCGCTGGCCATTAGCTGCTAGTGCCGCTATCACGCTCTTTGACTCGTGAGCGGGTTCCGATCTTTGGCTCGACTTCTTCCACAGCACCGAGAAAAAGACTTGTCGGGATTTTTGTCAATCTCGTCTTTGCTTCATTCAACTCTTTTGCTTACAACAGCCGATACTTGTCGTCCGAAAATCGAACTGCAGGAACAAATACCGTTACTTCTACTTCTAGCCAACTCGCTCTACTCGATTCCTAATCAGGCCCCTTGTCGATAGCCATGTCGACAGCTGCCCGACGCCGGTTGATGCGCGACTTCAAGGTTTGTCTACATAGGCCGGATGGGATCTCTTCTGGCTTCTTTGAAGTTTCTAATGATAATTTCAGCGTATGCAGACCGATCCGCCTGCCGGAGTTTCAGCATCTCCCATTCCCGACAATGTCATGACCTGGTTCGTTGCCCCTCACACCTCCACCACCAAGAACATGCAAGGTTCGATTGCTAACCATGTCTCATCGCCCTCGCTGTACAGGAATGCCGTCATTATAGGGCCAGCCGACACACCATTTGAAGATGGAACATTCCGGCTCGTCATGCAGTTTGAAGAACAATACCCCAACAAGCCTCCTCAGGTCAAGTTCATCAGCCAGATGTTCCACCCCAACGTTTACGCCACCGGCGAGTTGTGCTTGGATATTTTACAAAATCGATGGAGCCCAACGTACGATGTCGCTGCCGTTCTGACCAGCATTCAAAGGTATGCAAATATCTGCTGTGGGAGCGAATCCCTAACCGCCTACTCTTGCTTCGATGGCTCATTCGCTGACCTGGATAACTTCTCTTCTTCTGCAGTCTACTAAACGACCCCAACACCGGCTCACCAGCGAACGTGGAGGCTTCGAACCTATACAAAGACAACCGAAAGGAGTATACTAAGCGCGTACGAGAGACTGTTGAGAGAAGTTGGGAAGACTAAAAGGGCTCATGATAACGCTGGAATGACGAGGGCATACGGATAGGCGGCGTCTAGACAGCCGTCTCTCTGTTTCAGGATATCTGAAGGGAAACTTGGAGCTAGCCCTCATCATCTTGGTGGCACATCTAGAAGATTGGGCTCCCAGCAAGAAGAAGGGAAGGATTCATTGCAGGCGTTTTGGTGCACGAGATTCAACTGGTTATACCAAGGAAGGGGGACGAGTGTTCTCGTATCATGTTTTGTTATCTTCTACCTAGGGCTCAAGCGTTTGTTTTTGTCATCATCACCACTCTAACGGGGATAACCAAACAGTGATTTCGGCGCAGCGGAATGCCAAATGTTTCTGGTCCATGTTAGGCTTCCTATGAGGGATGCCATACCCAAGTACTGATCCACCCCCCTTGTCATCCCCTATCTGCCCCGTTTCTACAAGTTTGTCAAGTTGTACGTGAAGAAGACCTCAACCGAGTTATTGAGATTCTATTGACCGAGCTTCTATTGACCGAACTGTGGCTTTTGCGAGGGCATCGAGATATCGGGTATCAGTTAGCCAGTCCGCTGCTCTGCGATCCGGCAGTTCACGAGCCCAATTGGGACCCCGTTGGGCCTACATGCAATCCACTGCCAGCGTCCGCATTCACTGTCAGGCACAAAAGCACAGATACTACTAAATCCTGCCGAAGAGTCGATGGTGGTAATTCGAATCCATTGCAAAATATCGTCTATAATACATCGTCGCGCGCCAAGACTGAAATGATACCAGCTCGGTGGACTTCTATGCAGTGGTACCCAGCGCAGCCCCTGGCGAGCTCGGCGGTTTTTTTCCCCCTCTAATCTTTCTGAATTGCCTTTGTCGTTTCCATTGAGACGAAAAGCGGCCGTTCAGTGGAAGAACAACACGAAACGAAACAAAACAAAACACATCAAAATCGACATTCAGGCATGAAATATAGAATCAATACGACGTAAAGTGCTTCGTACCTTTGTAGGTCGATAGAAGCAAAGAGGTACCTCCTTTGTAGCACTTGCACTTAGGTTAGTAAGCATAGGTATTTGGTGCCTGGCCTAAAAAAGCTACGGAGTATTGGCGGGTAGTTTTTAGTGGCACTTGAAGATGTTTAGGGCGCATGTCCAGCGCTTGCACTGCGCTGTAACAGCCCTCTAGGCGTCTGATCTCCAGCCCCTCCCCTCTAGCCCCCAGGGCACTTCCAACCACCACGCGGGCGGCTGTTCTTAGCGCGCTTGTCACCTCCCAAACATTGGAACTCTGAGCTTTTGGGCCCCTCCCCGCCAGTCCCTCCCAGACCGCTGCTTTTGCATCCTCCCTAGAACTTCGTGTCTTGTTCTTGGGGGTTTCCTTTCTTTTTCTTTCCTTCCTTGACACCGATCCTGCGGCGGTGTTTCTGATTCTTTTGTCTCACGCAGCTTCGGTTGGGATCAACCATCTGTTCTGTTTTTGTTTCTCCTCTCCAGCCCCTCTCTCTCTTCTTTTACCCTCCTGGGAGGGCGAAACACCAGAGCCCGCCATTTGGGTGAAGAGAGAGAAGCCCCCCCTTCGAGATACCGTCGCCTCTGCGTGGCTCAACCGGCAGCTCAACGGTCGCTTCTCTTCGCCCATGGTCAACAACTTTTCTTGATATCGATATCCTAACGCCATCTGCCCATCATGTCGAACAACACCATCAAAGTCGTCGCCCGATTCCGGCCTCAGAACCGGATCGAAATCGAATCGGGCGGCAAGCCTATCGTCAGCTTCACCTCGGACGACACCTGTACTCTTGATGTATATTACACTCCACCCTTGTGCTCACTGTAGTGTTCATGATATGGAGAGTTTGTTGCTGACCGTCGCCATGATTCACATAGTCCAAAGAGGCGCAGGGCTCCTTCACCTTTGACCGAATCTTTGACATGTCATGTAAACAGCAAGACATCTTCGACTATTCCATTCGTCCCACCGTCGACGATATTCTTAATGGCTACAACGGTACTGTCTTTGCCTACGGCCAGACTGGTGCTGGTAAATCATACACCATGATGGGAAGCAACATTGATGATGCCGAGCAGAGGGGTGTTATCCCGCGCATTGTCGAGCAAATATTTGCCAGCATCATGTCTAGCCCTAGCACCATCGAATACACCGTGCGGGTCAGCTACATGGAGATTTACATGGAGAAGATTCGTGATCTGCTGGCTCCGCAGAATGACAACCTCCCTATTCATGAGGAGAAGAACCGTGGTATCTACGTCAAAGGTCTCCTGGAAATCTACGTCTCCAGCGTCCAAGAGGTGTATGAGGTGATGAGGAGAGGAGGAAACGCTCGAATGGTCTCTGCCACCAACATGAACGCAGAGTCTTCCCGATCCCACTCCATCTTCGTCATCACCATCACCCAGAAGAACGTCGAGTCTGGTTCGGCCAAGAGCGGTCAGCTATTCTTGGTCGATTTGGCCGGTAGTGAAAAGGTTGGCAAGACTGGCGCCAGCGGCCAGACTCTTGAGGAAGCCAAAAAGATCAACAAAAGTTTGAGTGCCTTGGGAATGGTCATCAACGCCCTGACCGATGGCAAATCTCACTACGTACCTTACCGAGACTCCAAGTTGACCCGTATCCTGCAAGAATCTCTGGGTGGTAACAGTCGAACCACTCTCATCATCAACTGCTCTCCTAGTAGTTATAACGATGCTGAAACCCTGGGAACGCTAAGATTCGGTACCAGAGCAAAGTCCATCAAAAACAAGGCCAAGGTCAACGCCGAGCTCAGTCCCGCCGAGCTCAAAGCCCTGCTCAAGAAGGCCCAGGGCCAAGTTACCAACTTCGAGTCCTATATTTCCAACCTCGAGGGCGAGGTTCACCTGTGGCGAGCTGGAGAGGCTGTGCCCAAGGACAAGTGGGTTCAGCCGATCGCCGATGGAGTTTCTGCAGCCAAGGCTGAGGCAAGGGCGCCGCGACCCTCGACTCCCTCACGGCTTACAGAGAGCCGCTCCGAGACTCCCATTGCCTCTGACCGTGCTGGTACTCCTAGCATAACACTGGAGAAGGACGAACGGGAAGAGTTCCTGCGCCGTGAAAATGAGCTTCAGGATCAAATTTCAGAGAAAGAATCGCAAGCTGCAGCCGCCGAGAAGCTGCTTCGCGAGACCAAAGAGGAGCTCTCCTACTTGAAGGAGCACGACAGCAAAATGGGCAAGGAGAATGAGAAGCTTACGACAGAAGTTAATGAATTCAAGATGCAACTCGAGAGACTAAATTTTGAGGGCAAAGAGGCCCTCATCACCATGGACGCTCTCAAGGAAGCCAACTCAGAGCTCACCACTGAGTTGGACGACATAAAGCAGCAGCTGCTTGACGCCAAAATGAGCGCCAAGGACACGGGCGCAGCTCTTGATGAAAAGGAAAAGAAGAAGGCAGAGAAGATGGCCAAGATGATGGCCGGCTTCGAGCTTGGAACTGATGTATTCAGCGACAACGAGAAATCCATCGCTGAGACCATCAAGCACATTGATGCTCTGCTCGAACAGAGCACAATTGGCGACCACATCGCCCCAGACGAGTTTAAGCTGCTCCGAGCAAAGATGGTCGAAACGCAAGGCATCGTGAGGCAAGCAGAGCTGTCCATGTATAGCGGATCGTCCAACGACTTGGACGCCCGACGGAGACAGGAGCTCGAAGCCAGATTAGAGGCTTTGCAGCAGGAATATGAGGATGTGTTGGCTCGCGGCCTTAGCGAATCCGATGTCGAAGAGGTCAAGGCGCGACTGGAGGCTACCTACGCCAAGCGCGAGAAGTCTCAGGAGCAGCTCGTCGAGGAGCTCAAGGCCGACCTCAACCAGAAGGCGTCAGAAAACGCAAGGATGAAGACCCTCATCGAGGAGCTTCAGCAGCGTGTCAAGTCTGGCGGCACCGCTTCCATGGCAAACGGCAAGACTGTTCAACAGCAGATTGCAGAATTCGACGTCATGAAGAAGAGTCTCATGCGAGACTTGCAAAACCGCTGCGAGCGCGTTGTCGAGTTGGAGATTTCCCTCGATGAGACCCGCGAGCAGTACAACAACGTGCTGCGATCTTCCAACAACCGGGCCCAGCAGAAGAAGATGGCCTTTTTGGAGCGGAATTTGGAACAACTCACCCAAGTTCAGCGCCAGCTGGTTGAGCAGAATTCTTCCTTGAAGAAGGAGGTTGCTATTGCAGAGCGCAAGCTCATTGCGAGAAACGAGCGGATCCAGAGCCTGGAGAGTCTGCTGCAAGACAGTCAGGAGAAGATGGCAACGGCCAATCACAAGTATGTATCACCGAGCTCCCCCCTTTTTTCATTGCCCATGACAGTACATCAACATGGTATTACGAGTAAAACATGCTTGAAAAAGCTTGATGCTGACCTAGACTCCTTTAAACTAGGTTCGAGGTCCAGCTTGCCTCCGTCAAGGAGCGCCTCGAGGCTGCCAAAGCTGGCAGCACCCGTGGCCTCGGTGGTGCCGGCGGCGGCTTCAGCTTCTCCAATGCTGGCAGCCGCATTGCCAAGCCTCTCCGTGGCGGCGGCGGCGATGCCCCTGCGACTCCCACGATCCAAGGTGGTGATGGGACTCCCACCAGCAGCAAGCGCGGTAGTTGGTTCTTCAATAAGTCGTAGATTTCCTGCGCGCTTTTGCTTTCTCCGGGCGGCGTTATGAGTACACTAGAGGCGGTTTTACACACTTGGAACCTTCCATATCTACCCACCCCATCATTCCCCCCCTCGCTTTCACCCCCTTTCTTCTCTTTTTATCCCTCTTCCTTCTCACGCATATGCCGTGCTGACTTTGCTGGTTAAGGCTTTTTCCGCTTTTGATTTCCTCCTTTGCTTTGTATCTTTTGATATGTCTTGCTATTTCTTCCACCCCCTCTCCCTTGTCTGCATTTTGAAAGTAAGGAAAAAAAAGCACAATTGAACCAAAAAAAGGTGAAGCGAGGATGATGATGAAGAGGGGGGGCATGTGTCCGCGCTATATACATTGTGGCGAGATCAAGAGCAACGAATGACGATTGTTGGATTCTGGTTTTTTATGACTTTTGAACGGTTGTGTATTTGACTGAGAGACCGAGACACAAATGCAATGAATGAGCAAACAAAAGACAGAGATGGAAATGAATCAAGAGCAAAGAGAGAAAACGGGCCGTAGGGCAGGTAGAGAGTCATCTATAGTTGGAGTTACGCGGTTGGGGAGGGTTATATATGATAAAGATGTCACGCATGAAAGAGTAAAGAGTTAAACTACATGAGATACAAATCAGAATCTTGTTTATGACGAGCCACCATGTAAATATTTGTGAGTGCGTCTGCTACCTGCTCCAGGCAAACTCTGCAATCTTGTGTATTGTTCACTTGAATGGGACGACCGAAATGGGCTCCATCTGAAAACTCGCAGCATGCATCTTAAGGGAGTAGCTATTCAGCGCCCCCGATTTGCTATTCAGTATCTCATGTCTCAAATTAAAGCTAGTGATAATACCAAGTACTAGAGGAATATGGCTATAATAGCAGATACTAGATAGATGAAAATAGCAATACATAGTCGCGGAAAATAGTGACAGTAGCAGATACTTGGGGAGCTGGGTATCTACTACCTACTATAAGTATAGTAGGTAAGTAAATACCGCGCAGTGCCTATAAACAAAAGACTTTCCTTCGCAGCCTATTTCGACACTTGAACCCCGTGCAGTCGCTGGCAAATAGCCAACTTTGAGTGATGGATAGCCACTCCCATTTAACAGGCATCATCATGAGAGTCATTGTGTTGTAGAGCGAGCATTTAGGTGCTCTTTGTGCCAGCCTTGATAATGGCAAGGCAGGTAGGGATAATAATGACCCAGGACAAAAGAGAAACAAAAGCGAAGATGCCCACAATCTTGGCGTATAGGATAACCACTCGTCGCCAGGCGGCCTTGGAAAAGGTAGACCAAGCATCGGTAATGGTGGCGTAGCCACGTCCACCAACAACCGCGGGCTCAACCTTGCCTTCGAAGGACCGGTCGAAGGGGATGATGGGGTCTTCGTCCTCGGGCAGGAGCGAAGCCTGAATGCGGACGACGACAACGCGGGCGGGGATGATTACGACGACGTACAGCATTGTGCTGAGGAAGATGTACACCGTAGCCTTGATCACATAGGAAATGTCGCCGTCACGAAGAGCGTCGGAGGCACCGCTGGACTTCTTCAAGTTGTCGAGAGTCGGGGCATCGAAGCCAATGAGGACAGCAAGCAGGTAGGGAATCCACTTGTGTACCTGAGTTGCGGCCCAGTAAATCACGATGGCCTTCCAGGTAGCATCAAAGGCGCGCTTGAAAGGAGGCAGGCGGCGCCAAAACCTCCGAGGAGAGGGGTGCGAAATGACAATGTGAACCCAGGCAGTTGCAAACTGAACCAGGACCAAGGAGGCCAGGAGTTCGGCAAAGGGCTTGACAGGTCCCCAAGAGAAGATGGAGGCGACGATGCCCGTGAGGACGCTCTGGGTAAGGGCACACATGAATCCACGCAAGTTGGCCCTGAAACCACCATGCGAGGTCAGAAGTCGGTTGATGGATCGAAGAGAAGAAGTCACTGTTCGGGCGGCGCCATCAGTAGGCTTGGCCGTAGAGCCAACAGTAGCCTCCTCATCGTTGCCTCCGTTGCTAGGAAGGGGTTCGTAGGCAGGAGGATTCTCATCTTCAATAATGGTGAAGACGGGGTAAATGTGGAACAGGGTGTAGTTGACCTACAGGTACATCAAGGTTAGTGGACATGACGTCGATGTCAATCATGTCGATTTCGACGGTGGAGGGGAAACCTACCAGGAGGGAAATAGGTAGCAGAATGAGGACGTTGACAAGAATCAGAGGCCAGCCCCATGCAGGCATGCTGAAGTCCACCTGTTCTCCTCCTTCATAGACTGTCCAAGCCATGGTGATGGATGGCGAAACGGAACCGTCGGGCTATGGGCGAAGTGAAGACTTTCAAACGAGAGACGGATGCGCTGACAAGAAAAGCGTCACGATGGCCACACGCGATGGACTTTTGCTTTGTTTCGCAAGTTCCAAAGAGTACAAAGGAGCGAGGCTAAAGAAGGTTCAATTCGCGCTGATGGTTGGGGGAAAACAAGACGCTTTATAATGGAGGCAAACCAGATTCTCGGTGGGCTGTCAGGAAGGGGTCACCCCAGTTCAAACGGCCTACAACTAGGCAGCACTGCCCTCCACCGCGGGAAGCCCATCCTGTTTCGACAAGCTCGTGTACACCCATTAGTTGATAAGCCCCGGGCTATTGGGAGACGCGGCAAAAGCTTTCGCTTGCTCGTGCCTTTCGGCCATTTCTGCTTCGGGACAATAAGCTACTGTAGTATCGAGGGGCGCCAAACAACGGCCTTTACCCGAAGCAGCGCTGTTGAATTATTTCTTACCAGCGCGCGCGAATCACATCGCTTGCAGAGCCCAGTGCTGGCGTGGAACTTGCATGAGATTGCGTCTCAACTGCCATGGTGTGGATGAGGTACGAGTACATTGCATCATGTTGTCTCGTGAACATTTTATGCAACAAATCCTTTGTTCAACAGCTGCTGCATCGCGGTTGGAATGAGTCGACCCGTGCATCCGCGGAATTTTGGTGTCGTGAATTGAGCGTTGGCGAGTCAGCGTCTCTCGGTGTCCGGCAAGCGCTGCCTATGTAAGTGGGTAAGCTCTTTTGCAGTAATGAAGCGATTGAGAAAATGGAGAAGATGTGAAAAAGAAGAAAAGTCAGCGGCAGTTTCAGGCGCCATATTGCCAACTGGAGTCAATCAATATTGGCGAGCTGTCAGAAGTTCTCAAAGTGCCGAAAACATGGAAGAGGATAGAAATGAAGAAAAGCACGAACAAAGATAAAGAATTGATGTTTGGCCTTGCTCGTACTTGGGCAGGCAATGTCGTGCGTGATTCTTTCCTTTGTTAGCGCTGGCGATTCACGCGGCAGGCGCTGACGACGAGATGCCCCGCCACTTCCCTTGCAAAAGAGCTGAAGTGGGGCGGCATCTTCACCTGTCACTCGGTACTAGGATTTCGAATCGATGTACTTTCCACGAAACTCAGAGTGAGCAGTTACATATAGTACCTCCTATAGGAGCAAGTACCTGGTACCTCTCTTTACTCATCGCCTTTATATCCAATCCCCTTGAGACTCCAAGCTTCCGACATGCCCTGAGACTGCAATTCCAATTCAATGTCAGCGCCATCCATCCCCAATCTTCTCTCTCTCCGGGCCAGAGGCGGTCGGGGCCGAAGCCGAGGCCGGGGGCAAGGACGCGGAGGTTCTGGAGCCGGCGCGGAATCTCGTGCTCCTCGCGGCCAGGCACATGATGCGGTCATCCAGGGAACCGATACGGATGCCGCCGTGTCGAGGTTGAGTGCCGTCGACACGGGCTATCTGAGCGATCCATATGCGCGGTATTTTGTATCTGCTTTTGATGGTCCGCCGGCAAGACGATTCCCCATCATCAACAGAGGTGGGTGTCCCAGCAGCTCTTACTTGGCCGAAGCCCTCTTCGCTTCACATCTTCTCTTTTGATTGGAATAATTTCGTGGCTCACATCCCGCTACAGGAACATATACGCGTACAACAGCTATAGATAACCTCGTTCGCGCGTTTCTTGCAAGAACTGAGGGAGAAGTCACGAGGCAGATAGTATCTCTGGGCGCTGGCACTGATACTAGGCCTTTCCGGCTCTTTAGTCAACAAAGCCGTCCAAAGCTGGTCTATCATGAGATTGACTTCTCAGTAACAAGTGCCAAGAAGCTCAAGACAGTTGAGGCAGTGCCGCCTTTGGCCAGCGTGTTGACGAATCGATCAACAGGTCAACAGGACACAGGTAGCTGGTCAAGCCAGCCGTTGAATGGAGAGTATTTCTGCCACGGGCTAGATATCCGCCGGTTATCACCTGCGGCTACCGAAATCCTACCCGGGCTTCGCACCGACGTCCCTACTCTCATCCTCTCGGAATGCTGTCTCTGCTATCTCTCTCAGGAGGAATCAGAGGGTGTGCTTGAGTATTTCTCGTCTCGGATACCCAATATTTCCGTCGTAATCTACGAGCCGATCCACCTTGGAGATCCATTTAGTGATACCATGGTATCAAACTTGGCAGCGCGGAATATTCACATGCCTAGCCTCGAGCGCCGCAGAAACGAAGCAGACGAAGCGGCTCGGCTTAAGCGAATAGGGTTTGAGACCACCCGTCAATTGACGATTGATCGCTTGTGGAGCAAGTGGGTGGATGCCGAAGAGAAGGAGAGAGTTGACAGGCTTGAAGGACTTGATGAAGTCGAAGAGTGGCAACTACTTGCCGGGCACTATGTTGTGGTATGGAGCTTTAGGGGAGACGGATTCGAGGGGTGGAGAGGCATTGAATAAAGGCAATTGCCGTGCAGCGATATACTTGATTTAGTGATTCCCGAGCTTCATCTTCACTGCATCGCCATGGAACCTTTGTTAATTGCGGAGAGAGATAGATTCTGCAGATTAGCCTTGCTTGGTTGTTTGCTATGCGCCATTTCTCGCTTATCGGGAGCCTTGCAGGCTGCATACATATCGTTGAAGATTAGTGTCGTGCTGTGCCGTAGGGATGGCTTGAACATCCATAATTGGACTCGGTAGATTGAATCTCGCCCAACGTACGACGTCTGTCTTGGGACTCATCTTGAACCCGGAGCTGGCCATGTTTAGGCTTCGCACATCGCAAAGAATCTCCATTAGGTACTGTCTGAACTTTGGAGGATCATCTTCATACATCGCTGGTGTGATACAACTGGGGGTCATCACTACCTACTAAGGCAGACAACCGACAGCCTTTTTTTTATACCACAACGCCCTGCAGCAATTCTCTGCATCAGCAAAGAGCACGATCTTTGCCTGTAACACACAGAAACACCATCTAGACAACACATTCCACCCCTTTCTTAGCAGTGAGACACTGCAATGTAAGTCCCAGGTGCTGGTATCACTCACGTGATCATGTGAGATAAGCCGGAGTGTGTCTAGCACGCAACAACGCTGCTTCAGGGGGTGCAGTTAGCATGCTTTACTGCTAACGACAACTGACTCTCTGTCGCGTTTAAGCCTCTCATTTCTCAACCTCAATTCTTTTCCTCCAGCATTGCTTCATCCCTTCATTTTCTTGGAATCCGTTTGCTCGAAGCCGCTCTGCAGTGATTATATTCAATTGCCCGCCTTCGCCCCCCCTCTTTATATCTTCCTTTGACGCCCCGGAATGAAGAATCCTTTATAGCCGACGACCCCATCAATTTCGGTGCGATTTTGCGGCCGGCGGTGGCATATCAATTCCTTGCGAGGCCGCGCATATTTTACGGGTTGTTCACTCGAAAGATTTGCATTTCTCTGCTCATACACCCGGTTCCTATACAAGACCAAATCCTACGGCGCTTAGGGGGGGTTGCAAGGGCGCAAGGCTGGGCGTCGCATTCAAGGGAGAGAGGCTGGTGCCTTGGGACGCGCGCTGGCTTACAGGTTGCGACCTGATCCTCACAGAAAGAGAAGGAAATCGTTCGATTGGGAACCGCTGCAAAGATGGCCGAGTCAAGTATTGCAAAGGCGTATAAATATCGCCAGGAGATTAGTCAGGTAAGATGCCGCTTTCATTCATACTTTGCCGGGCTGTTTCGAGAAGCAATGAGCCTCAGAAGTCTGAGATGAGCTCACCACCTATGAAGCACTTCATGATGAGCATGTACGCTTTACCATCGCCTCGCCTATCATTGCAACCGGACAATACCGCTTCAACATGAGATCTGCCGTCTCTTTTCATGCATATTACACCCTTGATTGAGTGTATCCGCTTGGTTATCGCAGTTACTAGCTACGGGCAACTAGGGAAAGGGGGCCATTCGAAGTGTGCATCTCGTTGCTCTCTTCTTAGGAAGCAACTCAACTTCACCTACAACACTCATGACAACTAAGTGCTATGAGGATCTCATGGCAAACGCCCTCGGCCAACCACATTGCCCAACACCTGGCAATGCCGGCCTTGCGGCTCCATCGCACCGCTGCCAAGTGGCAAGCTCAGCCAATTTGATTCAACACATATTGCGCACAACTCCAGCTGAAAATTTGCCTTGTCCACATCTCACTTTGCTCTCTACGTATCCATCACTTGCTCTTCACTTCCCTCATCTTCCCTGAGGCATTCTCGCCTCGCCGCTCCCTCATCATGCCATTCAGTGAATACATATACGTCAATGGGTGCAGATATCGGATGAGAACCGGATCTCTTTCTCGCCTTTCCAGACGCGCGATAAGGATTGACACTTTTCGACAGATGATGTACGTCTCTGGCGAAACTGCAGAACCCTCCGTCGAAACCACAGGCATCATTGAAGATATCGTCCGGCAACAGGTCATTGAACTGGTATGCTTCTCTTTCTCTTTTCACTTCATCAGCTCATTCAACTCAACATAACCTCTCTCTCTCTCTCTCAGCTTCGAAATTGCACCGAGCTCGCCGCCCGGCGTGGCTCAAAGTCCATCAGCACCAACGACCTCATCTTCCAAATCCGCCACGATCACGCCAAAGTATCCCGCCTCCGCACATTTCTCTCCTGGAAGGACGTTCGTAAAAACGTCAAGGACTCTGACGACAAGGGCGCCGACGCAGACATTGCCGCCGGTGACGATGCAGTCGGCGGCGTGGTCCCTGGAGGCCCCGTCGACGAAGCGGCCAAGAAGAACAAGAAAGCCAAGGTCGGCCTCCCCTGGGATCCGTCATCCTTCTACTCAGTCGAGGTCCCCGAGCGCGACGACGAAGAGGACGAAGAGGAGGAGGAGATGAACTACATCACGCTTCAGCGGCTGCGCAAGGCCGACGAGCGCACAAAGGCCATGACCCGCGAGGAATACGTGACGTGGTCGGAATACCGTCAGGCATCCTTCACCTGGCGCAAGGGCAAGCGTTTCCGCGAGTGGGCCGGCTTTGGCGTCGTCACGGACAGCAAGCCGTCGGACGACATCGTCGACATCCTCGGCTTCCTCACCTTTGAAATGGTCCAGACCCTGACCGAGGTCGCGCTCAAGGTCAAGGAGCAGGAAGACATCTCGCGCGCCCAGACCGGCGCCTCCACGGGCGATTCCGGCCCGAACAAGAAGCGCAAGCACCAGCAGGGCCTCTTCGACCCCCCCAGCGAAGGCCGTTCGCCAATCGAGCCCAGACACGTTCAAGAGGGCTTCCGCCGGTTTCAGCAGAGGCCCAAGAAAACGCGTGCTATGCTCAACGGCACGAGGTTGGCACAGCATACGACCCTTAACATTATTTAACTTGGGTTTCTTCTTTTCCCTTCTTCCTCTCTTCCGCCTCTTTCTCTTTGTTTTCATCTACTTTTCTCTTGTGTTCCCTTGACGCTCCAATGTCGGTTTCCCGTTTGGTCTCCTGTTTCTGGATTTGTGTTTTCTGGTTTTCTGTTTCAACACGGAGTTTTGAGTTCCACCACCAGTATATATATATATACACGCATTCGCAGTCAAAGGTCAAAAATTGCCTTGGCCATTGAGAAGTAACGAAACGGGGGGATTGGCTACTACTAGAGAGCCGAGACTTATGGATATTCACAATCTCGACCTTTTTTTTGGCCTTTTGGTCTAATGATGGCACGTTTTGAGCTGTTTCATTTTTTTTGTCAAGATTTATATAGCTGGCTCGTTGTTTGTCTCGTCTTCTATTAGGGACGGCAACATTTGATCAATTCATTGTATGATATCTGTATTCAAAAATGCGCTTCGTGGAAAGCCTAGCGCTCAGCCGTGACCTCCAAGATACAATCCCCTGCAACGTAGATTCCACAGTCCCCATTAGTAGATGCCGTCCGTCGTCTCTTGCTTTACTTTCACTGAGCTTTGGCTTTGGACAAAGGTCCCCAGTCTGGTCGAGGGTTCATTTGGTATCGCACAAGTTTCTGGGCATCCCGCAGGCGACCCAGTCGCGCGAGATCCTCGTCGAATACCAACGTTTTCCTCAGCTCCAGTTCGTTCGGGCTTGAAACTTGCTCATTGGGCTTTTCTGCCGCCTCTGCGCTTCGAGGCTCTTCATCTGCCTGGATATCGTCCATGTTGCTATCAGGCCCCTCGGGTGCGCCGTCTTCTCTACCAACTAGCCCGGCAGAATGTAGAATCTTCCAGCCAGGCATCAATGGTGTAAACTTTGACGCTTTGATAGGGGATTTTTGACGGATCCATTCTGTTATGATCCACCAAATCGTAGACCAAGGGGCATCCGTCTTGACGCTGCCCGGTCGGCAGTGGCTTCGCCCAACCTGATAACCAAGATGTATCAGAGCGCCACGGAACATGTCATCGCTGGGGGCAGCACAAGAAACTACAGTTGCTAGCTTGGAGGGGATAACAAAGAAGGGAGAGTGGTCAATTTCCGCATGTTGAGCGTCCCTGGGGCTCACAGTGGGATCGGCTTCGGGTCCCGGAATAATCTCCTCCAAGGCCGTTCGTAGCATGCCTTCTAACCTTGGGAGAGTACCATAGACTTCTGGCGAGGCGCTGGGGATTTGATCGAGAAGCTTTTGGATGAAATCCGCCGAGTGGATGTGACCTCCGTACATCGGACCATTGACATGCATCACATGGCCGCAGTGCTGGCAATGTCTATCAACTGTTGGTCCTGCCGCCGTGCCGTGCTTATAAAACGACCCGCTGCCTTTCTTGTTAGGCGTTGGCCTGCTTCTCAACAGATATTGGGTCTCAAAGGCAGAACATCCGTGGTCGCAGCTGTATACCACCATGGTTTTGGATCCCAGGAATTTCACGGCCTGTGGTGATCTGGTGACCCTTATGAAAACTTTTGTGTAGAAATCGATGGAAAGAGAGAGCAGGGGTTCGATGGCCAGACCATATCGGGCGCCAGAAGTCGCAACAGCATTCAGAATCAGCCGCAAGCCAGCTTCATGAGAATGCATTCCCTTGATAGGGGTACCGCCGTACAGGGCAAACGTCTTTTCGCAGTAGCTATGGCCCGCCCAAACAGCACTATCGGTGCAGGTGATGCAAAGCAGGCCTCCGTCATCTCTAACGGATTGTAATGCGGCGTCGAAAAAGGGTGCTGCAGTGCCGTACGGATCTAGGTCGATGACATCAAATTTGTGAGACTTGGAGGGATTCCCGTGGCGATCCCTCTTAGACAGGCCATCTGCGATTGCGCGGTACATGTGCGCAAGAGCATCTTCATTCGTTACTGAGATTATATCGTCGAGACCGTTGTGATTCACGTTGAGCTTGATAGACTCGGCCGCCGACTTGGAGAGGTCGTTTGCGTTTATAGAGGTGACAAAGGGGAGTTCATGGCCATACCGCAGCGCTCTTAATCCAGATGCTGACAAGGCATCCAATATCCTGAACGTCGATTTGTGACCCTTGTGCTCATCTACAGCTTCAGTAGCCACGTCTGGCGCCACGTCCGCCGTCGCTTCTGTCTCGATTGAATTGTTGCCGTCATCCTTCTCGTCTCGCTTTCGCTTCTTGCCGTGCTTATTCGACCTTGCCAGAATCTTCTCTTTCCTTTTCGCCAATATGTCTTCTCCATAAGTTTTGATGGCAAGAACAGACAGGTCTCGGTTGTACTGCTGGATGGGATTGTAAAACACCTGCTGCACTTCTCCTCGGTCCTCTCCAATCTTGGCACCCTGAGGCACCAAGATGGTTGCCTTGCCTTCTTTGACCACGCGGAACTGCTTCCCATCCTTCTCCACGGTTTCAACTTCGACGGTGCCTGCCATTGGCGCAATTGAAGAAGAGCAATTTGGAGAGTTTCTGCTGATAAGGCGCCGGGTTGTGCGTGTCTTGACTTTTGGGGCAATGCTACCGCAGGGACTGGCTGGCCTCACTGTTCCCGGAAGACACAGCAGAAGCTTTAGCGAAGAAGTGCAGCGAAACATGCAATATCCAACTGCACCTTTGGGCAACAAACTGTTTGCAATGCTGATGCCTGAGAAAAGCTTCAAGTCTGCAAAGCTCTGGAACCCACAATTTTTTGATATTCTGCCACATGCTTGAGGGCGGTGAAACAGCCGGCCCCACTACCCAAATCTGGCTGTACATGCCTCAATGGCTGTTGTTTCCTGTGTGCTTCAATAGCAGCATGTGATGCTCATCTCAAACAGTTTATTTATTTTGCCAACATGAAGGTTTACAACATGAATATTCATCTGGTCGAGCCCCATGTATTCGGGAGAACAAAAAACTCAGCTGTTGGGTGAATTTCCTGTTATCAAACGGTACATGCCTAATCTCACCATGTTCAGCACACTTACATGTGACACCCATCATCATGTATAGGTACCAGATGTCTTCAAAGTTCAATCTTCACCACGCATGTGATGCCCGCTCTTGGAGTCTTCGGTCAACGCTCCAAGTGGTCTGTCTGCCCTTCCATACATATCAAGATGCTCTTCTCTACTGCTTCTCGTATTGCCCGATGGTACTTAATCGCCAATGGAAAAGCTGATGTCATGTCTTCGCTTATTCTCGTCTCGCCATGTGCCAAAGCAGCTTGATGCGCAGGTACTTCTGCTGCTTTTTCAAGGCCAGGTAAGAGCTTTTGCAGATGTTGAGCCCAGCACGCTCTTTGCCTCTTTCTTTCCGCTGATCCAGACGAAGAATTAGCCGACATGGACGAAATTACTTTTCTCTCTCTCTCTCTCTCTCTCTCTCTGTCTCTGGAGCCATGGCTCTTCACCTCCATCGTCTTTTCATCTTCGCCTGTGCTTCATCCACGGAGGCCTTGGTATTGCTCGAGCCAGCCCAGTGTCCAACCCAGCAAACCGCAGCCTCAGAATCCTGTCGTTAGTCCTTCAATCGTGGCAGCATCTCCAGCCCATCATGTCCAAGCCGGCAAAGGGAAATCCAAGCACCGAAGCTCCTACGCTTCCTCCTCTTTCCGTAGGGAACAAGAGCCCTCCTGTGCCGCCTACGTCTTCTCATGTAGATCCTACCAAGCCTCCGGCCCCGGCGCCCAGTGGCCCTCCCAAGGACTCTTCGCCGCCCAAGCCTCACAGGTCTCCAGAAGATCAGCATCACCACCAGACACCTCGTCATAGGTTCCTTACACCTCACGAATGGGGCGTCGTTGCTCACGGAATAGGCGGCATTCGTGATCGGGAGCAGCACGTGCCAATTCATCCAACCAGCTGGGTCTGGCCACCCAGGGGCATGCCTCGGGGTTTGTACAAGGACACTGTGACTCAGCGCACCAAGTTCTTCTATCTACACCACGCGTCTAGTGGCATCAGATGGATCTTGATGCTGCTGCAGCTCTTCATTGGGGCGACGCTCACGGCTCTTGGCTCCATGTCTTTCTCGCAAGGTACTCCCATCACGATTCTGGGAGCTGCAAACACTGTCATCGCTGGCCTCCTTGCGTTTTTGCAGAACAGCGGATTGCCTGATCGATATCGGTACGACAAATGCGAGTTTGAAGCACTGGAAGACCACATCAAGGAAATCCTCGATTCTGGCATTGCTCCAGCGGACCAAACTGCTGACCGGATTCTCGCGGAGTGCTTCGATTTGTACCAAGACGCCAAGGCAACGGTGTCTGCCAATTTGCCGGCCAACTACATGCCTCGAAATGCCCAGCAAGCAGGCCAAAGATCCGGAGTTCCGGTCCAGGCGAGCCTGAATCCCGCCATGTCGAAGCAACTCGCTCCGCCATTTCCTGGAAGAGACGATGTTGACACTTCACCCGGTGAAAAATAATGTCTAATGCTAATTGATTCGGTGTGGCACATGTACGGTCACCACCTTTGATTTCCCTCTCGTCAAGATTGTCTTTGTCATTTATAGATCCATCTTTCCAAAGATGAATGGCACGGTTTACATCATATACCACCGGCGCTTATTCGACTCAAACATCTTCAACACTTTGCAAACATTATACTGCGGCTATTGCTCTGGGAGGCGAGATTTGAGTCAGGTCAACGGTACTTGGCATGGAGATGGATTGAGGATCATGAGCGTCCCTTCGTTGCATCATTTGACTTTGTGTTGTGGAGGTTGTGTTTAATTCTATGTATCGGGTGGGGGGGGATTTTGGCCTGTTTTTTTCTGACAGAAATTGTTGTAATTGATTGTCCTAATTGTTCGTGTTCAAGCTTCATAGATAAACATAGTCATTAGACGTCTCGCCTCATCTCGCCAGCTTTTGCCATCCCGTGGCCCGTTAAATGACATGAGACGTCCAGCATGTTTAACATAAGATGATGGAGTGTAGTCTGTGCCCTGTTCCCCAAATTGCGCCTTCGGCATGGTGTCGGTTAGCCCTGGCCTCGCCTATATAGAAAAGTCCGTCTTGTGCCACACCATCTCCAGTCTCGCGAAGCAAGAAAGTAGAGTCGGCTGTACAGGCGTCTGAAATCCCAGCCCAGGTCTTTGTGGTGGTTTCTCTAGTACAGACAAGGTCACCAGGGTGTGCGTGTGACGGTCCTATTCCGATTGCAGGCCGGTCAGAGGTGCTGATGGACTTGGATTTATCGTTGCTTGATGTCGGTCGCCCAGGCTTGGGTGATAATAGAAAAAGTCGACGGCCTTCCATGGTGCGTTTAAGCAACGTGAAGAACTTGTCGTCTTGAGAATATTCCGACCCTTTCAGTACCATCTCCGTGAATTCCGAATACCCTTTGAAGTAGTACATTTGCCAGTCATAATTGGCAACTGCTTTGGACCACTCGTCTTTTATGTGGTCTTGGAAGAAGATCATTCCGAGCTGGTGTATCAAGAGCTCCCGAGTTGCTGTCGTAGCCCATCCGAGTAAGAGATACCAAATTTCTTTAATCCAGTCCATGATGGCGTTCGGAGAGGCATTGAGAGGAAATGGATTTGAGATTTTCTCAATTGATCCATGGATCATATACCCAGGATCGCCCTGCTTCTTTCGGAACTGAATGTGTAGAGCCTTCGAGTCAGCATCAAGTAACACTTTGGGTTAACCCTCGAGATTCCACCCCCCTGAGAGCGTCTACCTAACCACTGGTAGCCTCCAGTCGGGAACCCAAGAGGAGAGTCCGCCTAAACGCGATCCGTCTGCCCTAAGATCGGTGTGTTTGAGAAGATCTCGATAGTCGAAACAGCGAAAGTTTGGGTTGAGGACGACCCCTTGCACAATTCAGCGTCGACCAAACCAGGATAGGCGAACAAGGGACTCCAAGTCTTCCCGGATGATGCTCTCATCGTCTTGATGATCGATTTGGCGAGAAAATGCATCAACAGCCTCCATTGACGATGAGCCGCGAGCATCAATGCCCAACCAGACCAAGACGCCTGAACAACGCCTATATATCTCAGTCATGAGAGGGATTTGTTTCGCTTTGTCGTCGTCATCTTGCTGGTTGATGCAGATGGCATCGACCCAAAGACGCCGCACGTTGAGTTTAGATCGAAAGCGTAGCAGAGCATCGCGCAGATTTGGGGTGATGTGTATTACGAACTCGTCATCAAGAATGAGTGGTTGTGTGAACTCGGGTTTACCCCAGGTACATGATAGGGCTTCATAGAATGGATCAGATTCTATATCAATCTCACACAGCGTACTTTCTGGATACGACTAACGCCATTACACACTATCACGAAATGGTTTGCGTTGGCCAACATAGTCATATACTTCAAGGTGTCAACGACATGCGTAGGATCCCCGGGCTTTTGGGCAACCGGCGGATACGTGACAGGATTAGTACTCGAGTGGCTGTATGATGTTTGCCTGATAACGGCATTTGTATCTTCTTTGAATAAGGCCTGGAAGATGAACTTGAAAATTCCAACGACTTTGTTTTGGATATGGCTTAGCATCACAACGTAAGTCTCATAGGCTCAACGGGTACAGGTGTATGTGGAAGCTTGTATACCACGTACTGACAAGGTGATTTAGCTATGCATTTATTTGCTATTGCTTGATGTCATTGCATGTGGAGCGAGTTGAAAAATCGAGCCTAGGTGAAATATTCGGAGATCCGACAACTTCACTTGGCATTGCGGTTCTCTTCATCTATGTGCTCTGGACGATGGCTTCGTTGCTAAATCTAGATGTCTGGCCGATCGTCACCTCGTTCATTCAATATCTAATCCTCGTGCCATTTCTCGTCAACGTCTCTGACGTGTTTGCCTTTTGCCACACGTTCAACCTAAGAAACCTGGTGGCCGACGCCGAGCCGGTCCTCGAACTGCCCAAGGTCGAGACCCAGAACGGCAAGGGCAGAATGGATGCACTCAACGACGAGAGGCTCGAAGCACAATACGAGCAGCAGATGAACATTATGAGGCAACGAAGATTTCTACTGGTGCAAAAGATGCCTTGGCCGCTGCAGATGGCGGAGAGGCCGCAGAACGCAGCGCGGATGTTTGAAGCCCTTCTTGTGATTGCTTGGACGACTACGAATTCCATGCTGGTATTTCTTGTTCTGGGTATAGCAGATGTCAGAGGCTTGTACTTGGCCGAGCCACGGGAAGTCCTAAAGAGCAAGGGGATGCACTATATCGCCGGTGTTGTGTGGGTGCTTGCAGGGCTGACTGTAGTTCAAGTGATTGGAGCTGCGCTCAACAGAGTGATGACTATCGGGAGAGGTTATCGGCGGTATCACTATGATGGGGGAAATAAAGACGACTCTGAGTTTATGAGTGTTACATAGATGTCCACGTGCTATATTCCTCTATTACTTCTTGATGCTTTCATCTTGGGACTTTGATGCTTACACGACGGATATATGGCTTGTAGTGCTTCATGGTAGAACAAAGTTGCATGACGTGAGTGTGAACATAGTTTCAACCTCTGCAAGGCATGCTATATATGGTGATATTCTCTTGAGCGGCTGGAGTCTCAGACTCAAGACAATGGAGGAAATTCATGGGAGGCAGACTTCGCCTTGTCATCCACGTACATTTTATCGTGTTTAATATAGTGTGTGTACTTGTATATACCTCAGTTGGTGCCAATGCTCCCCCAGTCTTCTTTTGAGAGCTCATAGTATATCTCATTCTTGTCCGCGTCAAACTCTGCAGGTCTCGATATCCCCTTCCCCGCCAACCCAAGCTTGTCATTCAAAAGCTTCACCATCGGGCCGTTCTCTTCCAGCGTCGTGATCGTAACCAAATCAAGCTGAGGCCCTCCCTCAACGGCCGGCAAAAACGCCCAGTTGATCGCCATCTTCATCGCTTCCACGCCGTAACCCTGCCGCTTATACGCCGGATCCAACATGGCGCCCACGTCGCCAGCCCGAATCGTCCGCCCGCCTCGCTCCCAGTCTTTGATCGCTCCAAAGCCTCCCAGACCAATCACAGTCTCGCCGTTTCCGTCTTCTGATTGGAGCACTAGCATCATGTTCACGCGGCTCGGTCCGCTCATGACATTTCCTTGCGCGTCAATGATGGTGGGCTTGCTTGCCGATTCCCTCATGCGGGAGATGCTTGATTCCGCAGTTGCGATGTCCATGTCCTTGCCGTGAGGATCGGACTTGTTTGACGGTGAAGACAGAATGGACGAAAAGGCCGAGGCATCGGAAGGCTGGATGGTCCGTAGGAAGAGGAGGGGGTTGGAGGGGGAGGGGATGGTGGTGTTGAGGTGAGAGATTTCACGAGACATGGCGGCTTGGTCAAAGAAAGCAAGGATGATATATGAGTGTCAGTGAGAAGGGGTGAATAGAATTGAAGAGGTCAAGTATGCAGTCTCTGGGTGGGATGCTTGTTTACAGCACTTCACGTCGATACTTGTAATCTTCAAGAACCAGTCGAGGGACATGTGGACTATTATTAGTGTACGAAGCTAGCAGCAGCGGTAGTGATCCTCTAGAAATTTTATCATCAATCTGATACATGTGCCTACCAATGCAACTAATGTTCATGCACCCGTCCCAGAAATGATGCTAAGAATCTCTGCAGATAGCCGTTTTTTATCCTGCATGGTGAGTCAGAAGTAGAGAGAGCCTTGTTCAAAAGTTCGTCTTTGTTTGGACATGATCTTCCCGAAACGGTAATCCGTGGACAAAAAGATGGTGCTCTGGTGACTCATAATAGGTATGGAGTAGATACTAAGGGAGAGCTGTCTACAGAAAAAATCGGTCAATTATATGGATGAGCAACAAGCTGAATTTCGACATCGCTTGTTTTATTGTGTGGAGTCTAATCCAAGGCAAAGTAAATGCACCGTAATTACGCAGACTAAAGTTTCGCGATCCCGGTATAATAAGTATACATATGCTTCCATCACGCTTCAAGTAAAAGCCGTACACCATGTCCCATTTCCAGTAATGCCCTTCGTATAATCTTGACATCATCACTCAATCAATCAATCAATCAATCAGCCGACAAAGGCGCTGGGCTGGCTCTTTTGCTCGTGCTTCGTAGCGTCCGCCCGCTGCTGCCGTCCGTCTCCGTATCAACCGTCACGCTGCTCTCCCTAGACAGCCGGGATGGGATATCGGGCGTCACAGACCGAGAGTCGGTGCCGGGCCTCTTCACCTTTGATATGGACCCCGGCTTCCGGCGCTTCTCCGCAGCAGGAGCCTGCTTGCGCGGTGTCGTTTGGCCATCGCTGTCAAAGACCAACGGCGTCTGGCTTCTCGAGGAGCTCACCGAGGAGCGGCGCACGCTGCTGTTCCTACGCTTGCGTTCCGCGCTCGCCAGGCGGTGATGGGGCATCTTTTGAGGTTCGCGACGGATGCGAGGCTGCGGATTCTGGCGCCAGGGGAGCCACCACAGCCAACCGTATTGATCCTTTGCGACTTTCCGGTCATGCTCCTTGACCTTTTGCCGAAGCAACCGCCGACGCTCATTCTCCCTCTCCCAGTATTCGGTGCGGTAAAGCTCCCAGTTCTCTCGAAAAGTAGGCGAGAAGGGCTTCGGCAGAAGCAGCAGTTTGACGTAGTCTCCCCCAGGCGCCAAATCCTCTTCATGGCCGCCAAGCTCGTCATCATCGGGGGGGAGGACTAGCGTGGGATGGTTGTCGCTTGTGAGCTGGAGCTCCTTCTCGACCTGGCGCAGCAGCTGCGGCTCGACAAGGCGGTATGAGGAACTGGCGGTATGCGAAAAGAGGCCGTACGTCAGGAAGAAGCCTATGGTCGACAGCGCCTCGGCCCACCACGTCTGCCTGATAATGACCAGCTTGCAGTTGAAGCCGCGCAGGCCTCGGTTGGAGATGGCGAACCAGCGGCGTGGCCACCGGATGCCGCGATCCCAGATGCCCGTTGCCCAGACAAGGGCGGCGGTGATGATGCCACCCATGAAGCACACCTTTTGCGCGCCTTCGACCGCCCAGTATATGGACCCTCCCACGCCACGGCCGTCCTCTCGCGGCGCAAAGTACAGCTTGTAACCAAAGAAGGCGACCCAGAGCGTCAGGATGGCGAGGAAGAAGGTGTGGTGGCGCTTGCGGGCGCGCAGCTCGAGGAACTGGGCGCGCATCGAGGCCTCGAGGATCAAGAGGTTGAGATAGATCATGGAAGGGGAGCTGGGCGTGTGATGCAGCGGGTCGCCAGGCTTGCCAGCGCCGGGCGAGAAGGGGCTTGCGCCGGAGCCGGGTTTGGCATTGCCATCGTCGTTGCCATCGCCATCGCCATCGCCATCGCTGGCAGCGGCCTCGGCAATTGGGGCGCCCTTGACGATGCTGTCGAGGTCGTCGGCCATGGTTTGCGGTGCGGGCAGCCGCCGACTCGGGCTCGGGGCTCAAGCTGGGGCTCGGCTCGGGGGCTCGTGGAAGGCGGCGTGAGTTCGCGGAGGGGGGGGGGGGGGGGGGGGGGGGCCGGGG